TCTATTTTAGTAGGGGAACCCTCCCAACCAAAAAAGGAACGGTAAAAGGGCACCTTGCTGGGGGACCTAGATTCCCAGCAACCAGGTCGTTTGCTCGTTTCACATCCCTGCCGCCAGGCGATTGGCTCAACCCCAAAAAGGCTCCTTGGAGTTTAGGCCGAAGATGTCCATCGAGCACTGGAATGCCGGAAACGCAGATCTGCTGGCCTCTGCACCTATGGAAAATTTTAGAATGCCAACAAACCGGAGAAAACCCCGGGCGCAACTTCGTAGCAAAAGACGACCAAAGCGCATCAAACCGCCGCCAGCTGGGGCCATTTATTGGCCATTCGGCTGGCGGTCCTCCGCGCTCCGCGCCTGGCCAAGGCGCTCCTGCTTGCTGTAGAGGGCAAACCAACCTGGCGGGGGGTGCCGATGGGAGCCACTGGTCCTGGCTACCCCGCGAGCCACTTCTTGGCTTGGGCTTGGCGAGTGGGGCTATGAACCCAGTAAAGCTCATCTAGGCCTATAATTCCACGTGAGCGTAACCAAGGGTGGCCAAGAGTTAAGGGATCGAATTGTCTGAGACTGGCAAAGGATTCGACAAATGCTTCAATGTTCTGAGGAAAGTTGCCATCACACTGGCCGCCATCTCCCAACCACAAACGAAATAAATTCTTTCTCCACCAACCCGGCGACCGATTTCTTCGTTCGCGTGCCTTGGTCGTCCCACACCTCGGCTCGAGCACAAACCCTTGGGCCGAACTCCTCCCCGGACCATCTCTGGTTGGTGTCACCTATAATTATGTCTTGTAAATAAAATAAACCCACCAAACTAGAATGGAAGAAGGGGAGATGCCACTGGGACAATCTGGGGCCGTATTTGGGGCCGGCCAAATAAGATGCACATGAAACCAATGAAGGGGGTTGCATGCTCCGACCTGTTTCGACTCATTCACTTTTGTGTTCAGCAACAAATAGCTACAGATATAATTCATGTCTACACATATATATATATATATATGCTCCCCCCCTTGAAATACTCAGATTTTTGGTGAGAACTGAGGTGTTGGCCAGACTGGGGGTGACAAATGCCCTGAAACTCTGAAGTGAACTGACTGGACGCTCAACTCCATGCCAATTCCAATCAAGCAGAAGTTAAGCTCAACATTGATTAGGAGTTGCGAGCTGTGTGACCGTCACATTTGTTTGCGCGAAGTGCACTTAAAGTCACATTGGAGAGTATGCAACTCCAGCTCAAAAAACACAACTGTTCAGTACAAGAGTAGTGCGCGAAGTATGTTTTGGCAGCTTCAACGCGCCTGTAGCAGCCCTATTGTTTGGTGTTTATTATTTTGTTCGGCAGCGAAATTCAGCAAATTATCAACTTGGGGAAAAGAACTCATTCCTAATTCATGTCCTTGCGCAGTTGCATTTACATGTTAACTCGAGTGTTGTGCATAATTCCTGACATGCTAGTGCAGTCTATTTGAAAGATATGTTGCAAAGCAACTATCCCATGTGTGTGTGTTGCTTGTCTAACTTGGTTTGATCATCGCCAATAACAACTATTGAAATTCAAGGGAACGATATCCAGTTTAAAACGCTTTCGAGCTCAAACCAAAATTCAAGTTACCTCGTTTGCAGGTTCTTGTGCATTTCAAAAATCAACTGGAGAAGATAGCCATTGTCATGGCGAATGAATTTGGAATCAAACTCATTTTTGAAAGGGTTATTGTCTTTATCGAACTCCATGTGGATTGAACCAAGCAAGAACTGAGCCAAGCCAATGACAGGAACGTGTTTTCAACCATAGATATGTTTCTTGGCATAAATGATGTAAGTGTTTTCAGCGTTTGCTCAGATCGTTTTGCCCTGGATCGAAGATCGAATATACAAGATTCCACAAACATATGTTTAGAACATCCTCAATCCTGGTCCCCACAAAGCTCGACAGTTTGTTCTAGACTCATTAAGGCTTCGCCCCCTGCATTGAAGATTGAAGATCTACCAGATTTTCTATTTGAGAATCTTCCATCCTGGCCAGCCCTCAAGTCCACAAAAAACCTGTAAAGGCGTCAACAACATTTTTCCCCCAAGCCAAATGCAGGCAGTGCCAGTGCACATCCACACTTTGATTCTGACAACGTGCACTCCCGGTCTGCCTTTTGGATTCTTCAAATCCGCACTTAGGGCAATCCAGGATCTGGATTGAAGATTGAAGATTCTCTGACAACTCTTTCGGACATTTTCCAAATATGTACTTAGGGCAATCCAGGATGTGCTAGCAGGTGCTAGCACATCCTGGATTGAAGATTGAAGACTGAAGATTCTCAGACCACTTGTTCTGGAAATCTTCAATCCATCCTTAGGACAAACTGATATGTGCCAGCACGTGCTGGCACATCCTGGATTGAAGATTCAAGATTGAAGAATCCCAGAGAGGGTTGTCAGAGAATCTTCAATCTTCAATCCAGGATGTGCTAGCACGTGCTAGCACATATCAGTTAGTCCTAAGGACGGATTGAAGATTTCCAGAACAAGTGGTCTGAGAATCTTCAATCCAGGATGTGCTAGACCTGCTAGCACATCCTGGATTGCACTAAGTACCGATGCTAGAATTTAAGTCTAAAAAGGAGTGCAGTTTTAGAGCCTCATTTTATAGAAGCTGGAACGTATGTTTTGCATGCATGTTTACAGCCAAAATGTCAATTTCTGGCCAAAAACCTGAGTATTCCAGGGGGGGTACCATGTATATATATATATATATGTGTCTGACAAGATCTCTGCACTGCAGGGGGTGTCCCTATCTCAGAACTGGATAGGAAGGATCAAGTATGGGGTCATTCAGACCAACATGTGACCTCCTAGACGAATGACGATTGAGATCTAGAAAACGGTTTGGATGCGCTTTGTACGTGGATTTCACCGATTTGTCTTCCCCGTGTAGGTTCTTTTTAGTACTCTTTGGTACTCTTTTAGTATCTAGGCGTAGATCCGCAGATTCGCCGCATCCAAGCGGTTTCCTAGACGAGGAATCACAGGATACTTGCATATAAATGGCTTGCCTGCGAGTCTCAGGAATATAGGCAAGGGGTCTGTATCAGGTATGTAGATTCCAGCAGGTGCAGACCCGAGAAGTGGTTGGGGGCTGAGAAACATCCGGGGGACGGCGGAGATCCAAAATGAGTAAAGAAGTGCCACTGCCGGATGGACATAGAAAAATTGGGTGTCACCTTACCCCTAGGGCCGTGGTTTTTGATGTTCCTGGGCGGTTTCCCACTTACCCTGCACAAGGACCGGGCAATCCGAACCAATGGAGGTTTGCCTGAGGGGTCCACTTGAGCCCAAAAAAGAGTTGTTCCTTGCGAGGGGGGCTGGAAAAGATCGGGCTCGTCCCCGGCTTGCTGAAACATTGAGCCTCAATCTCAATGACCCCAAATGGACCGTGGACGGAACATGGGAATGGGTCAACATGAAACCACCGTAAAAACCACAGGTTTTAGCCCATGTTTCCATTTGCCAGGGGTCCATTTTGGGGTTACCCTATGTTTGACCCACAGCCGCATCTATTGATGATCAGCGGAACAAACCCCGTGAAACCCCAACCGCTTTTGTTTCTGAAGCTCTGCAAGAAGTGCCGCATCCCCTTCTTTGGGGGGTTTCCACGGAACATGAAAACCAATGCGGCCATGCGATGTTCCCGCGACAAAGAATCTGAAAACCCCCCGTGAGTTCCCGAAGAAGAAAAAAAAACGGAAGTCTATCTCTGGGCAAGTGACTCCAGGACGTACGTTTGGACGCAGCAAAATATAGGGACGGCCAAATCCGTGATCCGAAATCCCCAAGAAGACATACAAAAACATACGCCTCCCCCTTCCGGTTTCTCTTTTGGGCAACATGGGTTGCTAGTTCGCAGCTACAAAAATGAGAACGTCAAAACCTTCTGGCCACGTTTTTTGGAGCAAAAAAAAACAAAAATGCATATGGGCATCAAGGCATATTCGGGCGTGGGGACCTGCAAGATGGTGGAAGACTGCATTTGTTTGTCAAGCTTCCTTGACTCACCGACTTCCGGGCTTGGGCTAGGTCTCGGCCCTGGTCCAAGCTTGCTTCAGAGAGTTTCCAGGTGGTATTTCTTTTGCCGTCCTTCAACCCAGGCCTTAAGAAGGCTACAAGTTGATGGACAAAAATCCTACACCTGGGATGGATGAGGCTTATGAAGAGAGAGGTAATCCACCTACGTGCAGCAGCCTCCCGCCCCGAAAAGAAAAAAATGTGGTGTGCCACTTGATGTTGCTTCAAACCAGCCTTAAAAGGGTGCCAACTCGACGAAAAAGGCTAGCCCCTAACCACTAAACCACCATTCCAAACCACCAATTGGAGGGAAGCTGATCTCAAAGATGGGAAGGCACCCCTAATTTTCAAATCAAACCACCCTTAAAACAGTACGGCCCCATCTTCTCAAAACCCTGGTCCCCTGTTGCGGGGGGTCCACCATTTTGAGAGACGTCCCAATCAAAACCACAGAAAATGGGTTGTCCCAAAATAGCGCGATGTCCCTTGTTAGTTTCCCAGAGAAAGACACAACACACACAAAAAAACACGGACCCAAATCCAGGAACCAATTGAGACCCCCCCTCCTTTTGCCCCGCAAGCACATGGCTCTCATCCCTCTCATCGCTTGCGGCTCCTGGGCTCCCGGCTGCGCAGGCCCAGCCGTTGGCACGGAAGTGATTGGTCCTGAGAGAAGTTTGATTTTTCTTGGTCCAGCTTTTTATATGGCTGTGGCTCAAAAAACCGGACCAAAATGGAACCCTCAAAATTAAACATATGGGTGTGGCTCAAAATTGAACAGGAGGGGCAAACCGCAGGTTTTGGTCCATGTTTCCACTTACCAGGGCAACCCATTTTGGCACCGGCTTTTTGAGCCACAGCCATATGTTTGTCTTTCTGGTCCAAATGAAAAATGAAAATGCGTCTGGTCAGAATTGTTGGTCAGACTTTTTGGCCCAGCTGTTCTTCTTCGGGGCGGCACGCCTTCACGTCCCGCTTTTGATATGGCCGTGGGTCAGAATCCCGTTTTTCCCCCAGTGAACATCCCAATCCAACCACTAAAATAGGTTCTAAGATGGGTGGTGGATTCACCTACCCCAAAATGGGATCCCAAAACGGTGTTGACCCACATATGTCTTTGGTCCAAATGAAAAATTTCAGCTTTTGGTCAGCTTTCGTTCAGCTTGTGTGTTTCTGGCCCCGCCTTGGGCGGGTTTTTTTTTCCGGTCCTCCAATCAGCAGATCCGACTCCGGTGGCTTGGAGGTGTTTTGGAGGTGGCTTGGCATTTCCCATGGACCCATGGAGTTTTCTCCCCCAATCACCCACCGAACCCACGGAAGCGACCGGTTCTCCCTCAAGGCTGGTTCTTTCTCCCTTTGGCTCAGGGAACTAAACTTACGCCCAGGCTGGGCGGCTTGCGGCGCCAAGGCAGCTCAGCGGCCATGGGACCAAAAGGGCAACCTGCTTTGTGCTGGTTGGTGTACTCGCTTGAGTGGATTGGCGATAAAAAAGGCCAAACCAAACGTTTGTTCACCACTCAAAGGGTCCAAACCCCAAAAGTGACCTTTAGTCCGAAGCGGAACTCGATCAAGAGTGAGAGTTTCAAGAGGGAACCGGCTTCATCCCCACAAAGCAGACAGACAGACAGACAGACAGACAGACAGACAGACAGACAGACAGACAGACAGACAAACAAACAAACAAACAAACTGCAGCACTGGATGGGTAAAAAACACGCCAGCCATGAGAAACTCAGTCTCCATAGGTCACCTTTTGGAAAAATCGAGTGGTCCATGTCGTGAATGGTGCATAAAACCAACCCAAAAACCAGTCAAACCCATCTATCTCATTGCCCAAACTTCCTCTCATCCACACCTGCGCCCAAAATTGTGAGTTTCCCTTTGATTTCCCCTTGAAAAAACGGAGTCATCCACACCTGCACCCAAAATTGTGAGTTTCCTCTTGGTTTCCCTTTCAAAAAACCACAACAAAGGGGTACGCCATTGCTCGCCAAACCAAAGGCCAGCTATGTCCGTGTCGAGGTGCACGAACCTATAGTACTCGCGCACCAGATCAGTGTTCCTTTCCTCGTAGCAGCACTCCCTGCGTCCCAGACCTCGAATCGGGATGCGAATCGATCTGCAGTGGCTTGGTTTAGCTTGCATAGTACCTTCCCCATGTGTCTTCGGGAGATTGGGTTCAACTCCCGCAAACCGGGTAAGCTCTGACATGTGTTTGAGAAAATAAGACATATACGCGATGATATCAATTCAGAAACATGGGGTCGTCCTCGCACAAAAAAAAAAAGCCCCCCCCCCCCCTGTCTTTCTCTCACCCTTCCTACGAGTCACAGGTCTCGGCTGAATTCAAGACGGGCCGCGTGTCATTTTTCAACTGAAAGCTATAGGCTCTGCCCAGATCTCGGAAACGGGGGTTCAAAAGGAGCTGCCAAGTTGATCCAACCACGATCAGATCAACTAAGAAAAAGACCTCCCTCCCCTTGAACAGACATGTGCCTCCGGATCCCGAGAACGATCAACACATCACACCCAGTATACGTGCTGCCACAAAAATATGACGGAACATGACCTTACGCTTCATTGACAAAACCCAAACATCATTTCTTTCACACGGCAAAAAGTGCCTCCTCCGAAGCAGGGAGTGTATCGCATAGCAGACCAATGCGATGCGCGAAGAGGGCAGTGGGTCTAAGGAATGCACCGTACTCGCCGATATAGATCTTGGTCCCGCTGCCCTGGCGCCGACCGCAACTCATCAAAACTCAAGTCAAGATGCAAGTGCCAGTTTCGACCACCCTTCACTCAAAGCCACCAGCTGGTTTGGTTTAAATGTTCGCTTGGTTCCTACCACGAGAAGGCGGGAAGCAAAGCTCAGAACCTCCAAAGTCTGGCTTGAAGTCAAGGCCCGGCACTGCCGATCTTTTGTCTGGCGACTTGGGGTCTCCTTGATCTTCTTCCCAGTGGCGAGTCCAAGTCTGAGCAATCTAACTAATCAAAGGATATATATATATGTATGTATATATGTATGTATGTATGTATGTATGTATGTATGTATGTATGTATGTATGTATGTATGTATGTATGTATGTATGTATGTATGTATGTATGTATGTATGTATGTATGTATGTATGTATGTATGTATGTATGTATGTATGTATGTATGTATGTATGTATGTATGTATGTATGTATGTATGTATGTATGTATGTATGTATGTATGTATGTATGTATGTATGTATGTATGTATGTATGTATGTATGTATGTATGTATGTATGTATGTATGTATGTATGTATGTATGTATGTATGTATGTATGTATGTATGTATGTATGTATGTATGTATGTATGTATGTATGTATGTATGTATGTATGTATGTATGTATGTATGTATGTATGTATGTATGTATGTATGTATGTATGTATGTATGTATGTATGTATGTATGTATGTATGTATGTATGTATGTATGTATGTATGTATGTATGTATGTATGTATGTATGTATGTATGTATGTATGTATGTATGTATGTATGTATGTATGTATGTATGTATGTATGTATGTATGTATGTATGTATGTATGTATGTATGTATGTATGTATGTATGTATGTATGTATGTATGTATGTATGTATGTATGTATGTATGTATGTATGTATGTATGTATGTATGTATGTATGTATGTATGTATGTATGTATGTATGTATGTATGTATGTATGTATGTATGTATGTATGTATGTATGTATGTATGTATGTATGTATGTATGTATGTATGTATGTATGTATGTATGTATGTATGTATGTATGTGTATGTATGTATGTATGTATGTATGTATGTATGTATGTATGTATGTATGTATGTATGTATGTATGTATGTATGTATGTATGTATGTATGTATGTATGTATGTATGTATGTATGTATGTATGTATGTATGTATGTATGTATATATGTTTTTTCTGGCCATGCCGTGAGCATTGCTAAACTGTATGCGTTACCGGTAGAAAGGAAGGAAGCTCGGGCCCTGCGAGCGGTGTCCGTTCGCGGGCGAGAAACCTCCCATGCGTTCGCCCGTTCCGCCTCAGGTTCGCTTCGGCATTGGCCAGCTACCCTTTAATCGGTGGTTGGGATTGGTTTGGGGATTTGAACCCTTCCTTTTGAAACCAAATGGGAAAGTGCCCCTAAACGTCCAACCAAAACCAAACCACGGGATAAAGTGCTTGGGGGCCAGAAAGACATCTCGGGAAAGCATGGTTCTGATAAACTTGGATTCCATGAAAAGAATTCTTGGCAGATTCCTAGTCAGCCCAAACAAGGAGAAATCAAAAAATATACTTTTCAGCCAAAAAAAATGTATAGTCAACCCAGGAGTCAACCCAAAAAAGGAGAAATCGGAGAAAGAAGAAAAAAACACTGTTCAGCAAGTTTTTTTTGTATGGTGTTGGCCTCGTTCAAAAAAATTGAGCCGCGCCCTCCAAACCAGATGGGGAATGGAATCACCAGACGGTTCCTTGGGAATGTCTTCCAGGACTCCTCGGGTGACATGTTAGACAGCAGGGTTGTGGTTGGAATCCACGGATCTGATACAACGGAAAGGGAACTGTCGAAGACACGTTTTGTTCTTATAAAAGGAGGATGTTCTTGTATCACAGAAGTGGTTGGAGAAACCCCGAGCGATCCCACAAGCCTGAAACAAACAAACACGAGCAAACATGCACTGTACTTTCACTATCTTGCACTTATGCGCAAAAACCAGCCACTGAGAAACTAATACAAATTGTCCATATCTGCCGGCGGCCCTGCCACATGACATGCAACACTTCCTCCCTCACGCAACGGGAATTTGTCACAAGTACACTTCCAAAATAGATTGGTTTGACTGCAAAGCCATGCAGGAGCAATGTTCTACAACGCAAACATGTCCGGTGGATCGATCGGACAATCGCGCGGCTCCACTATATACTGCCAGACGTTGATCTGACTGAACACGTCGTAGAAACCTAGTCAAGACCGCCAGAACGCAAAGACGTTCTTTTAGCCCACACTCACGGTTTTTTTTAGGATGCTGGGGATCTCTGCAAAAATACAAAAACCGGCGGGGGGTTGGGGAGGGGAAGGGGGGGGTTGGGCTGTCATGGTGAAGTTACAGTGGAGGTTGAAGTTGGGGAAGTTGGGATGGAGTTGGGTCGAGTTGGGGTGGAATTCAGATTTGATTGGGCTGGACCAGGATTTTCTGACAAGGAGGCCCCTTCTCGACGCCGAGCGAAGGAGCTGCCTGTTCTTGATGCTCTTGCAAGGGGCGCGCTCCATGAAATCCAAGCCGTCCAGTTTTTCCCCGTTTCGTCGGACTGCAGCTTCCCTTCTTGTGACTGTAGCACATGCTGACGGCACTGGACGCCTGGGCTCTCTCACATCTTCCTTCCAGCCCACCATACGCGGCCTGGAGGTCGCGGAGAGGATGTCAGGCATCCTTGGCTTCACAGAGAAGTTGGTGATTTTGCAGATGAAGCTCTTGTTGGCTTGCTTCAAGACAGCAATGTCCAGCACGTAGGTCTGCCGTGAGCGCCATGTTGCCCACGGGCAAGATGGGCTGCGAAGATGCACAGATAGGCTGCTTGGGTGCGACAGCCGTGCAGAACATGTTGAGTTTTCTGGTTGAGTTGTAGCCAACAACGCGAGGAAAGCCAGGGCGCGCAGGAGAGGGCGCGGCAGGTGGGGGAGGGGGTTCGCAGTGGGGGTGGACTTGAGTTGAGTTGGGAGTTGGGGGGTTAAGGGGAGGAAGACAGACAGACAGACAGACAGACAGACAGACAGACAGACAGACAGACAGACAGACAGACAGCCAGCCAGCCAGCCAGCCAGCCAGCCAGCCAGCCAGCCAGCCAGCCAGCCAGGCAGGCAGGCAGGCAGCCAGCCAGCCAGCCAGCCAGCCAGCCAGCCAGCCAGCCAGGCAGGCAGGCAGGCAGACAGACAGACACAGACATAGATGTCAGATTCAGCAAAGGGTGCATTTATCTCTTGAACGGCAGCCCGCCCATGATGTTCGGATAAGGGTGCGTTAATCTCAGCAAAAAATCTGAACACTGGAGTGGGGTGGGGGGGTGGGGGGGTGGGGGGGGGGGGGCAGGCCCCGAAGAAGCGAGTACTTGTCTCTGCAAAAATTGTAAAAACCAGCAGGGGGTCGGGATGTTCACCCCGCCCTTCCATGATGTTCGAAGACACATACATAAACATAAATATGTGCCAAAGATGAACTGGTGATGCTGAGGATGCGGGAAGCCAAAGCCAAAAAGGGTTACTAAAGGCTGCAGAAACAAATGAAAGGCAGCAACAGCCAACGAGGCACCTGACGGAGACGAATTGTGAGGATGTGAAAAGTCAAAGCCCAAAAACCCACGAAAAGCGGCAAAAGCCACAAAAAGACAAAAAGCCAAAAAGCCGCAAAGCCGCAAAGCCGCCGACCCCGAAAAAAAGGAAAGAGCAAGATTGCCCTCCATAGGATCCCTTTGGCTTTCCCTCAAGTATAAGCCCAAAACTGGTTACCCTTCAAGAGGAGAGACGCCCCCAAATACAACTTGGGGTAAGGGCTTTTCCGTCCAAGGCTTTCCGAAAGCTCGCTTTCGGAAAAAGGGTCTTCTGAGTGAGCCCGGGTTCTGCAAGAACTCGGTGCCCAGTTTGGTTTGGTTTCAGCAAAGTCCAAAAGGCAATCCACAACTTTGGGGAGTCCCGAAAAGACAAAAAGAAAAAAGAAAAAGACGCACCCAGTTGCGTCCAAAGGAAAACTGGGGTTCATCTCAAGGAATTTTGTGGATTCCACGTGATCGATTCCGAACCCAAGCAAAACCAGGGTTTTTGAAAGGTTGAGTTCAGCTCGCACGGCTCCACGGCTCCAAGTCCAATCTGTTCTCACGAAGGCCCTACCAGAGGTAGGGCCATGGCCTTTTGGCTCATCGGAACCCACCATTGTCAGGAAACTACAATCTTACGGCCACTTACCCCTTAAAACTCCAAGCCCTGGGGAAGTTAATCTTTTACAGACATGTAGCCCATGTTACCCCCAAAAAGTTGAAAAGTTGTGTTTTTAAGAGGTAAGGCCTTGGACTCTAAATTGAGCCATGGTCCAAAATGACAACTGCAACTGCCAAACCCATACGGACATGCCGTAAATCTCGTCCTCTTCAGGATGGAGCGTCAAATTGGAGATTTTGAGAACGAACCTCGTCACACGAATCTGAGAAACTTTGCGCTCTCATTGGTTTGATTGGGGGGGTTCTATCCCTATCTTCCTGGTGCAAAAAAAGGCAGCTGACAGAATTTCCCCAAGCTAGCAAACACGATTTCTTCTTTCTTGGCTAGGTCCTCCAGTGGAGAGGTTAGAATTTGGGTACCAACTTTTTCAGGACGTCTATTTGAGTAGACGAAAACCCTCCCAACCAAAAAACAGTGGGTGAGAAAGTTGGCACCTAGCTGGGGGACCTATTTGGTTTCCCTAAGCTTGCCCCACGATTTCTGCCTTGGCTTCTTGGAAAAGAGAATCCAGTCCAGCAGTCCTGGTCTCTCCAGACCCACTCAAGCCCACTCATCCGAGGCGATGGCCCTGCTTCATGCTCTCAATGGAGCCGTAGAAGTCGTTGTTCCCCGTATCCCCGGCGAAGTCCCAGGGGTCCTCGAAACTCGAAAAGCGACGACCGGCTCCAGCGAGCCGGCTCGATCGTTTGCGCGCCGGCACGAGCCGATGATTGGAAGCCTCCCAAAACCCCAAGGACATGAGCCCTTTGAGGCTCGGCCGTTTAGAAATGGGACAAAGGAAAGTGAAAACTGAATGACGCACTACCTATTTTGGTGTCGTACTGGGAAACTGAAGGCTAAGTTTGTTTGCTCAAAATCCTTCAAAGACGTTTAGGCGTCACCGCTTCTGTGAGCCACAAAAAAGACTCAAGAGGGCTTGGGAAAAAACTAGGGCTCGCTTGTGGTTGAAATTCTACGAAGCCCCCCCTTCTCGCCCCTCCCAAATGCACCATTGGTAACTTGGACCAGACCTCAATGCTTCTGAGCACCTGAACTTAAGAACTTAAGGCATGAGGCTCTTGGCATCCAAATTGGTATCGGGTCCCTGCTAAAAGTACTAAACCTTTAGCGGGACCGACGTCAACCCCCACGTGTCCAAGATCAACCTGGATCGGGGTCATGAGTAAAATTTGAGCGTTGCGTGCTGCCCGTTTTTGTTTTTTAGATATATATGTTTATCTTTATGTTTTCTTAGTCGCTAAATTCGTGCTACCCGCTTTTTCAAAAGGAAAAAACAGAGAAAACCTGGGGCTCTTGTAGTCGCTAAAAAGGGGGGAAAGAACAAAAAACCTGGGGGCTCTTGTAGTAGGGAACGAGAGGTTGCCAAGCATGCGCCACCCAAACTTGAATTGAGACATTATCAACCTGAAGGGTCCCTTCGTACCTCTAAGGTACTGACACCCCTTTTTACCCCCGAAGAACCATCCAAAGGAAAGCAAAGAAACACTTACTAATCGTCTATGGCAACTGAACTCACTGGAGTTCCGCCGCTTCTCAGAGCAATCCTCGACCTTTCCAGTCCCTCTGTGGTCAAGGGCATGGTTAGGTATGGGTGTTGGAGGTATGCGCAGATATACCACCAGTGCAAGACTGTGCGGCAGTATATACGCCTTATGTGCGTGACAAGCCTGTATACCAGAACATTCCGCAACCCGGCATTGGGAAACAAAACCATTCCTCTCCCTTGTTGCTTCTGTTTAAGATTACCTTGTTTGACTCGATGGAACGTGAGCTTCCATTGAGCTGGGTGATGTTCAAAGAAAACACATCGATGACTTCGGCCTATTGGAAACAAGCTCGGCTTGCCCCAAGGTTGGCGACACTTGTCCAAATGTGGCAGATGGGCCTTTCTGAGATTACCCCAAAAACGGGTCCCACAATTAAACAAATACACATCTATTTAAGCCGCTACATAAAGGATACATACCCAATTGTCACCTGGGGATAGTAACGAGAGTGCGGACATCATCTTGGACCAAACAGGACAACAAAGACGATCAGAGCTTCACGCATGAAAAGCCCGCACGCCCAAGCACATCGAGCTGCATAGGTGTGTACCGTCACGCCCAAGCACGCCTCGGATGGGCGAAAGGCCATGGTCAAGTGGCATATGGGGGAGGTGAAAACTCAGTGTACGTAAATATCAGATTTGTATCATAGATATAGCACCTAGCTGGCTATTGGCTTCGGCAGGAACGGCCGGGCTCACTTCCCAAGTGAATTGGCGAGAGAAAGTCCATCCACCCACATCAGTCAAGGAACTCTCCCGATCCTTTCAGAGCACGAGCCAATGCGACTTTTCGTAGGCCATGTGGCGTATCCCTCATCGAAATGTGGCGAAGTCGGCACAGAAGGCGGCCACTAGCAAAAAACTTCGAATTGACCGCGATCGTTCTCGGACAAGGAAAAAAAAAGGTACCAAGTCCAAAGACTTGCGAAGTGAATGTTTCCCAAAGTCAAGGAGAAGCTTCCGATTGCCTGAAACCAGCTTCTGGATCATCCTGAAGGCCCTCCCAAGCTGAAAAATTGGCTGCTGCCAGGGGTTCGGAACACCGTCCCCGCACGGGCAGCATGGTCAAAACTCCGGGTCACATCTCTAGGATCTCAGGGTTATAGTTAATGGGATCCATCAGAAGTCATGGCACATGCGGCAAGTTCCGAAAAAAACGATCGATGGCCTGTGACAACGACAAGTCTGAAGGAACCCCCAATATTAAAAAAGATGGGTGCTGATGTTCACAGCTCAGGGCCCCAAACTGCGCTGGGTCTTGGCCAGCTCCCACATGAAGCTTGACCGTGTGCCACGCCCAGAAAAATTGAGGAACAAAAAAAAAAAAAAAAAAACGATTCCAACTTGAAAACCAACGGGCGAGAATGGAACATATTCTTCAGCAAATTTCTTGAGGAGATGGAAGTTGTTAGATCTCAGAAGTCCGTTGGCCTCGCAACATTCATCCCAAACATTGCAGGGCGAAGGAATCATTCACCAACCTGAAGGGGAACTCCCATGAAACTTTTGCCCAATGTAGAAAAAATACCTGCCAACGACGTCCAAGGCGTGAAAGTGCGGAAATTAAATGTGCCATGGATGTATCTGCGAGTGACCTGCAACAGTTCTCGATGCTGTCTCTTGAGAAGCCAGCTTCGAAGTAAAACATGGTTCATGAAGTATCTCATACTGTGGATGGACGAAATCCTGCACCGCTTGAAAACCATGGGAATCCACTGTTTGTTGGTATTTACAGGGGAATCGAATCATTCTATGGTTTCTCAGGTGATGCGAAATGGATTTCGCAACCATCCACAGTAGTACAAGAGGACACAAGCCCCAACTTTGTCCACGAAATGCGATGTTTGAGTGGGTTAGGTAGTAACCGTTAAGCCACTTGGCTCTCTTTGCATGGATATTGACCGCGATGTATTAGTAAGATATAGCTATTGACTCATGTGCGATCAGCCATTCACCGCCTGCAAACAAGGGTTCTTGGTCCAACAACCTTCATCCGAGCTGTACTTTGCCCCCATGGTTCATGCTCGCTTCACTTCGTCGCTGGCTAAAGGGTATGCAAACATGCATGTTACTTCCATATCTAAAAAGCGGACCACCGTTTCCACCCAAGCACCCACCATCATGGCAGAGCTAAGTCTGCGCGATCAGGAAGGCCCAAGAAGTGACACTCTGAAACCACCATGGTAATGAGCATCATGAACATGGAGTCCATCCCAACAGAACATTTTGTGAACCCCCCCTCCCTCAAACAATCATGTATTGTTCACCAAGGATATCTTCTGAAAACTGCAACCCAAAAAATGTTCTCCATACATGTCTAAGACCCACAGTTGACCATGACTTCCGCAGCTTGCGGCCTGCGGCCGAGCTTCATCTGAGCCGCCGCCCGGCAGGTTCGATCGATTCGGATAAACGTAGCCCAAGGCGCCTGGAGAACGACGGGTGAGCCGTGAGGCAGTCTTGGCACGTTGGCCCACAACGACCTTTCGGCGGCGCATTTTGCAGCCTCGCCCCGCATGACAAGGGAAGGGTGACAAGCAAAAGGGAACCCCTTTTGCAAAGAAAGACATGGCCCTAGACAAAAGCCCGCTGGCTTTCATGGGCATGTGTCAAAATCTCAGAGTAGGGGGGGACCACCAAAAGAATGTAGAAACCAAGCCAACAAGGCGTATGCTTCTGGAGGTACAGAAACCTGGAGTTTCGGCTCAGCCACGCGACAGCTTGCAAGGGGCATGGCCGAAAGCGGTAAACGTGAGCCTGGCCAAGGTATTTTGCAGCCGCACCTCCGTTTGCGAAAAGGGAGCCTGGCCAAGGCAAATCGCAGCTCCGTTTGTACAAGGGGGCCTGGCCAAGGCTTTTTGCCTTGAGCCCGCGTGATGCGGATGGAAAGGAGTGGCCAAGGCTGATTGTGTCAAACTGATCCAATCTTGCAAGACATGGCCAGGACTCTAGCCACCTTATAATTATATATGTATAAATGTATACACGTGCAAATATGAGAACAACATACAATGTTACGAACAGGTGTGTAGGTGCATCAATCTGTGTGCGACGTTCTGCAAGGAGCAGCCACCAGCCGGCCTATGTTGCCCAAAGCGTTGGGGCTCAGGAAAACCATGCGGTCCTGCGGGAGGCAACAACTTGGGCCGCTCTTTGCGCTCAAATGTTCAAAATGGGAGGGGCCTCCTCGATATTCCTTACCCGTAATCACCCCTGGTGGGACACAACTACAAAAAACAAGGAACCCCAAAGCATCTGATAGCAAAAGGATTGAGGCTTGAGATTGACCACGCAGCTTGGGACAGAGTCAAATGGGGAACCTACATGACACCTGAGATTGGCAAGCGGGCGGGGGTCCCTGCTTGCTTGCTTTGGACTGAGCAACCCCATGTTCATGCACGGCATTTTCAGGCCTGAGCAAATGGTTGAGCCCAAAACTATCGAGAGAAGGTCTCCTGCATGACTCCGGTGACCAATAATTCAGCTGTCTCGTTAGAGTTCTTGCTGCTAACAACTTCCTTGCGAAAATCAAGGCCCTCCGGTGGCTGAACCCCGCAAGAGTGAGCCTCGCTGACAGTCGTGACAGTGTCTCCCGTCCTTCGAGACGCTTCGCACCGCGTCATAGCCAATGGCGTTGATCTCCCGAGTCCGATTCACGCCAAGCCTGCCCAGTGACCCCTTCAGTTCATGGCGGACGAAATCCATTTCGCGCCATTTGGGGCAGATGAGACGTCTAATGGGATAGACCACCTACCAACTGGTGCGAAGCGGATTTGGCGCATCCACAGTAATGAGCTGTTGCCTATCCCGATGCAAACACTCCAGCCGGGCCGCAGGTGACAGATCTTGCGGCCGCATGCTGCCTTCCCTAAGAAATAAGGAACCATGGGTGACCTTCTGGAAAAATAGATGGCTCTGGTACATGGGGCATACGCCCATCTAAACCAGCGCCATCTATGTCCAACCAAACTAACCTAAAAGACACCCATGACACATCTGGGGCAGAGCATACTATCTTCAGATTCTATTTCACCTTCCCGATCAAGTGGATTAACCGACAAAAGTCCAAACTTGATGTTTACCACTCAAATTGTCCAAACCCAAAAAGAAACTAAAGTCCGAAACGGAGCGTTTTGGAGACCCCAAAAAAAGCCCTCCAGATTTGGAGCCAATTTGTGTTGGGGTCCTCTGTTTTTAGGTAGCAGAACCTACCAAAATGGCCAATAGGGGAGAGTTACTCCAGTGATTTCATGTCCCTGAGAAAGTAACCAAGGGAACCCTTCAAAACCTAAAACTGGAAAACTGTCGATTGCCTGCTATAGTCTCAGCTTGTCGATTCGTTTTGGGCAAGTGAGTTCACAGCATGCAACATGGAATTCCCATGGCATTGATCCAGTTATGTAAAAGGTGACCTCACCCCCAATGTCAAACCTATGGGTGCTTTGAGCCCATAGCTGTCACTGTTTGTTGAACCCTCAAGCCCTTAGAAGGTTCATGACGGTTTGGAACAAGTCCAAGCGTCTGAGGGCAGACGTCCAAACAGGACGTGGTCAGGCGTCGAAACAGAAAGCCCAAGTCATGTTTGACAAAGTACGTAATCTCTCCTGACAACATCATCAGCTTCCTCCGACGCCATTTTACATCGACATCCACCCATTGATCATTACATTTCATCATACCTGACCAAAGACACAACAATCAACAGCAACGAGAAGCAAACAAACACTGCAAAAGTTCAAACCGACTTGATTTGGACTCGGGTGATTCAGAGTTCAAGCCCCTCCAATTTCCCAATGTCTGTAAACTGGGTCGCCTCCCTATGGATCTTGATGCGGTCCAATCATTTTCGAAGACCCGACTCGGGCTCACAAGAAGCCCTTCTGGTCTGTCAACCAACTCGCTGTTGCTCAGTAGGGAATGAGGGAATGAGCCTGGGGATTCCCTTAAAGGAAACCACCAGTAGTAGGGTTCATTCCAATTCTCAGCAAGCCAAATCTTCACCGAAGTGTCCCCAGTTCGAGAAGAACCAAGAAAGACTTGGGGACCAAACTTTCACCGAGTCGTCCCCCCCCCTTCGCGGGGAGATGTAAAAAAAAAAAAAAACGACGGAAATCCGAGTCAAATGTGTCTGGGTCAAAATCAAACCACCGGACCGCGGCTTTGAGTCCGTGCGAACCCATTTTCCAGGGCCAGCCATTTTGGGCTCTTCGCATTTTTGACCCACGGCATCGGAGGCGAGGAGCTCTTCGAAGGGCTTTACCCATTCGTCGCTCCAAGAGCCAAAGGCGTTCTCCGGCTCCTGAAGCCGCCGCAACGCGACGCGTTTCGGCGTTTCGGCGTTTCGGCGGCGTTTCGGCGGCTCGAGGTGTCGAGGTCGGTTCGAGTTCGGTGCGGGGTGTGGGGGATGTGGAAGCCGGCGGTTTCGAGTCAGTTCGTTCTAGGCGTGAGCTCACAGGACCAAAAAAAGATGCAATATGTGGTACGTGTCAATCTCATAGCTGGAACACCCTGCCAGGAAAATGCCTGTTAGAGAAAATCCAGGGATGCAACCCTGCACCAACTGGTGCCCAATGTTTGCAAGGCATCCCAAGTGCAGGATTTGGTCTACCTGTGTCAGGGCTTTGGACCCACAGTGGTTGTCCTTTTGATGTCCCTGCAAAAACACAACAGAAAATGGCTACCCTCAAGAAAAACCAGCCACCCTTCACCACCTATACAAGTACTGCCTTACGAGCTGAACAAATACAGTGGTGGTCGCATCCATCCAAAACTCCTCTCCCTGAACCTGACAACTTGACAGGCTGTACCGGCTCACACAGTTGCACATGTTACCGCCCCCAGCCGGGTGCTGCTGGGTCGAACGCCTTCCGCCAAACGAACGGTTGAACCTCTCCCTTTCAGCGGAAGGGGGGCCCTATGTTGAAGCCCTCCCTTGCAAAAGGGCAAGCCCCCTTCTGGGTTGTTTTCACAATTTTCGGCGTGTCAAAGGCGGAAACTGGGGTGGCTGTCCTTTAACCTACCACTCAGGGGGTGAAGTTGATTGCGGCAAAAAATCACGGGGCCAGTGGTCTTGCGCAATGGCTTGGAATTGTCCAAGGAGACGTGAGGGTTTCTTCGGAAGCGACGCGTACAACCACCAAACAGGGCTGGGGTCATGTGTCTACCGCCAACACGGGCCGTTCAGTCTGGAACTTGACCAAGCAAGGGCGCTGGCTTGCCATGGGCCATGCGCAAAATGTTGGGAGCAAGAGGAGATGGGGTAAGTTTGAATCTGTTTGTTGCCTTTTTCGGAAGAAATTGGTTGCCGTCCTCTACACGGGTCTAGCTTGGCCAATGCAAGTCAAGGCGCGTTCAGAATTTCGAAGATCAGCAAACCTAGGCTTCAGCAAAATCGCGGTTTCAGGAGAGTGCGCCGCAACCACATGTTCAACGTTCGGTTGCTGAAATTGACGCAACCTGGTCCCTCAAATCGAGCCAAAAAGGCTGCCTCTGAATTCTCCTTTGTGGGTCAGTTGAGCAAACACAGTCACTTCGGGGTGCAGGAAGTGAACGGACCAAAGCAGTTATTCCCTACACAACGCCCCCTTCGTGTTCAAAACATCAAGGGCTGCACTGCGAAGCATGACCCACTGAAAGATCCCTCTCCAAGGTTTTTAATACAGTAGAGGGCCTGGGACCATTGAGCAGTTGCCCATCACCCCTTTCCGCGTGCTCTTGAAAGACTTGAGGCTACATACCCTCCAGTAAGATTCCGTACTTGGGGGGTGATGGTTGAAGGGGACATCTCCGGAACCATTGGAATTCAAAACAGCCCTCAATCCCGCTGGAGCAGGGTCAAAGTTGCCCCTCCGGGGACCTCATTTCACATCCGGCTTCCAACCTTGTCAAAACCAGGGAAGATCCTCTTGCAGGGGTCCAAACAGGCCGCAATCGATGTCCCATTCGGACAGAATTCGAATGCCAATGTCGCCTCAATAGTTGAACCGTATAAGGACATGCACCTTGTATTTGCCAACTAAAATTGCCAACTATTGAAAGGTTGTGCACCTATATGGAAGGTGAAGGTGCACCTAAAATGTCCAACCGTATAATGGAAGGTGCACCTAAAATGGCCCCCGATTGAAAGTGCAGCCTTCCATTTTTTCCCCGAACCGAGGTGCTGCTCCTGCTCTCGAAGTGCGTGGCGATGTCAAACCTGGGATCACTGGCTGCCCATGTGACAGCCCTCAAGACACCTCAAACAAACTCACCTTAAATGGGCCAGCCTTAGGTGATGTTGAAAAAACACCAAGATAAATATGGGGACCTTGAAACATGGGGACTTTTGTTGCGGGGGGCAAGCAGTGACTTTTTGTAAGGCCGCACCAAAGCGCAACCAAGCATATACCTTGGGACAGTCCCCGGCCAAGGTTCCATGTTGACCCGACCTCTTGGTTCCGCCTTTGTAATTTCCCTGCTCTTGCAGGTCAAAGAAAGCGAGAAGGATTCGAGCTAAGTTGAGTGCTTCCTACAATTGCGGTCCCAACAACTGCCCGGCACACGTTTTGTAACCCTTGAGCAAGGCACAACTTACAGCGTTTCCAAGTTTAAGAAATTACCCGGTTGTCGAGATGAGGCCATGACAGAGTCATAGGGCCTACGAATTCGGGATTGTCTCCAAATGGGGAAATCCCCTCAAAAAGGTGCGATTGTTTTCGGTGGGTGTTTTGGCCCGAAAGCATAAGGGTTCTTCAGGTCTTTCCTGCACAAGAAGCGATAGCAAGTAGCAATCGCAAGTTGCACCCTGACAAATGCGAGGGTCGCTAACGGCTTTAAGCTAACGGCTCAGCAAGATGCACTTGACAGTACTGGCCAGTAGCGAAATGCGCACCAAGTGGAGCTAGCAAGTTGCAGCGCAACTAAGCTGCTCTAGCAAGTTGCACAAGGAAGTCGCGTTGGCAAGTTACGTAAGAGGTTGCTTTAGCAGGCTCCAACAGCAAGCTGCACAAGAGAGTGGCACGAGAGGTGTTCACTGTCTTACACTAGAAACATATATCTTTGTCAAGATTCTTCGCGAGAGAAAGAAAGAACGTGCGGCTCGACAAGTCCAAACTACTCTATGAGAACGGCGGGCCTGCGCCACCGGAGAGATCGACACGTCGACCCCCTGCGAGGATCGGCGTGGTCGATCGCACGAAATGCGAGCAAAGCTACGTGGGCTTGAAGGTTTCTCCGCAGCTTCTAAGTTGGAAAGCTAGTAGTGCGAAAGTGTTTCGCGAAGTGCGCTTTGGCTGCTCCAGCTGGACAATCGCAACTTTTAAGGACGAAAGTAGTAGGCGAATTGCTCCGGCTGGAAAATTGCAACTTTTTAGGGGCGAAAGTAGTAGGCGAATTACTCTGGCTGGAAAATCGCAGCTTTTCCAATGCAAAAGTAGTACGCAAAGTACACTTTCGCAGCTCCGGCTGGAATATTACTAAGTTGAACTACAAAAGTAGTGCGCAAAGTACACTTTCAGAAGGCTCCGGCTGGAGAATCGCAACTTTAAAGTACGAAAACAAAATACACTTCCAGAAAGCTCCGGCTGGCAGATCGTAAAAATAAACTACGAAAGTAGTACACAAAGTACACTTTCGCTGGATCCACGCTTGTACTCGGGTCGAAAGGTTGCTGTGTGGTGGTCAGCACTGCCCGCAGAGAACTTGCTCATACTGTGGATGGACGAAACCCGTTCGCACCACTTTGAAACCATGAGAAACCACTGTCTGTTGGTATTTACGGGGGAATCATCATTCCAGGGATTCTTAGGTGGTGCAGGATTTCGTCCACCCACACTAGCAACTTGTTCAGAGAACAGGAGGACTTGCGAGGAACTCGAACCAACAACTTACTAAGAGGAACTTGCACACTTGCAAAAAAAGAACTTGCCGCCGCGCGCTGCTCATGCTTTCGGCCCACCCGTCTTCCAGTTGAATCAAGCCCAAACAGCGTGGCCCTCAAAATACTGCACACCAGGGTGTGGGAAATGACCACTGCCGTGATACAACAAAAAGGGCTTCCCAAAGACTAACCCTCCAGAAAGATCCCCAAAAGTATCGCAGCAGCGGTTGGCCCACACCCCAAAGGGCGAACGGAAAGGCGAGCGGAACTCCGTTCCAGGGCGCCAGAGCTTCCAGAATTGGTCTCGCAACTCCCTCAGCTGCCAGCTGCAAACAGGGCCAGCTCAACTGCCCAAGATTTGCTTGGTGTTGGCTCAAATTTGCTTGGTGATCCTTTTGGTGCCCAACTAGGGCCCAAGATTTGCTTGGTGTTCCTTTTGGTTCCCCTTTGAGCCCACAAAGAAGCTTTCCCAAAGACGACACACGCCAAAAACAACGTGCGGAAGCCAAATTCGGAGTCTCCGGACATTGCCAGCGTCCCAGCCTTTTGCCTCATTGGAAGCTCTGCAGCTGAGTCACAATCAAAACCTGGGATGTCCTGTCCCTTGCTCCCCAAGTGAAGATTCTATGTCCGTCTGGTGCAGTCCCATTTCCGTGTTTTTGCTTTTTTGGAGGCCAATCCCCAGAGCCGGGTAAAGAATGAGCTTGGCGGCAAAGGTTAGGTTCAGAGCTTTTTGGGGTCCGCGTTTAGGGGTAGTTTCCACTACAACACTAAAAGTTTAAAACCTTTAGCAGGAAATCGAAGGGGAACAGACCAGAAACGTGGATGGACGAAATCTGTTCGCACCACTTTGAGACCATGATCGAAAGTATCCCGTTTGTAGGTACGTCGGGGAGTAGGGGAATCGCATCATCCCGTGTTTCTGAAGGTGCGAAACGGACCCCTTTTCAGGTGGACGAAATCGGGGCTTCAGGGTCCGAAGCTTCGAGGAAGAAAAGGCGCGTTCCTTTTTGGCAGACATGGCGCTCTCCCGGCTCTGAGTTTCGTCCACTTCAGCTCTCAGTTGCTCCTCTCCCTCTCTCTCTCTCGCTCTCTCTCTTTCTCTCTCTTTCACTTTCCATGATCTTCCTTCCTGCCCCTCCTTCTCTTGTAATTAGGTGTTTTGGTGTTTCATGCATCTCTTCCTTTATCGCTGTTCGTATGTATGTCCGTCTTTCTCGCGCTATTCATTCACGACATCTATTACTTTGCTCAGTCTTCCTTCCTCTATGTCTGTCTTGCGCCGGCTCTTTCGGAACGAGATGGCTTGGAACCACCAAGAGTCATGGCCGCAAGATTCCAAGCCAACCCTCTTGAGCATTCCTGGCGAGAAAGAGCACACTGTCCAAACATGAAGCTGCACAACCATAGGTGTCCTGTTAGGGGAAATAGAGGGGTTTCCCTGGTAGATGATTAAACCACCAGGTGTTCTCCAAAAATCGCCATCTATTTTTCTAGCAAAACAGCCAAAAAAAAACACCTATGTGCACACCGCGTGAGGAATCGCCAGCTCCGAAAAAATTGGACCTGCAGCCATGCAAAAAATGCACCCGAAAATATCCAGTTGGCTTCCTTCGGATGCAGTTCGCAAGACTCGACTCGAATCTTGGGCATGGAACAATTCGGCCCCTTCAGGTTCTCACTTGCCTAAAGGACCCAGAAATACAAGGTTCACCTGTTGGGGCAATGACTACAACTAGACCAAACAGGAGAAACCAAAAGGTCAGATTCGGTCGATTCGCTGCTGGGGCAACTGAGGGCTCAATGGGAAACTGGATCTCTCCTGTTTCGAAGGGGTACCATGCCTGAAGTGGCAAAAAGATGGGGGGTTCCAAAGCTTTGGCAAGCCCCAAGAGTCCGAACCCCCCCATTTCAGGCACACCCTTCTTCTTTCTGGTTCGATTGGCAGGGAATGAAAAAATGACCTCTATGAACCATCCCCTATGTGTGTGCTTTTACTTATGCTTTTCGAGAATGCCCTCCCGGTTCATAACAACACCCGAACTCGGACATTCCCCTACTTGTCCAGCGAGTTTGCTCTCAGATGTTGCCCTCGAAGCAAACCCCAAGTGGTGACCATAGGCAGCCGAGTTGCTTCGAGCTGTCGTAGTGATCTTTCAGCCAGTGTTCGTGATGGGTGTCGATCACCACCTAAGCCGCAAAAAAAAAAAGGATTGAGAAAAGTGCGTTAGAAAAAATGGTCTACCCAAAAACATTTCAAACTGAGAGAACGGATCTCCACAACTTCTGGTTGGTCCCATAACCTTCACGTCAAATCAGCTCAGCACAAATCGAGGGAAGCGGAAAACTGGGCTATGACCCTGCAAGAAACATCAACTTGTGGCGAGTCGGTTGGAAAAACTGAAATCTATCAAAACAGTTCAAGACCAAAGAGCAACCTAGTGCGCTGGCAAAAGATTGCCTTGCAACCAGACACCACTTGAGTTCGTGGCAAAAAGAACCCCAGGGTGACAGGTGCTGTCACCGGAAAACAAAAAACAGAAAGGGGAAAAATAAAGGAAAAGAAAGAAAGAAAGAAAGAAAGAAACAAAGGGGGGGGGGAAAGAAGAAGAAGAAAAAAAAGAAAAACGCTAAGAGCACCTCACAAGGACCTGAAAAGAGCTGGAGGCTTTTTGAGTGCCCCTCCTTTGGGCTCCACAAGTCGAACCATGTTCAACGAAACGAAGTCCGACAAGGCCAGCATTCTGAAGGGGCAAAACAGGAAAAGGGACCCGAGCATCAATATAACACACCCTTGTTTTGAATGGCGCAAACCCCTGGAAGAACTGCCCCATCTGTTGTGTGTCCCTATTCAACGAAAGGAATGTACCCATCATCAAAATAAGTTCTGTGCACATGACTCAACCACGCAAAACAGAAATGTGCCAAGCTCAAAAGCACGTTTTCCTGCAGGAAGACATGGGAAATGTTGGGTTCGTGCCCGGACTTTTGTGGTTGCAGTATAGTGAGCTCCCCCTTCTCGTCCCTCCCAAATGAACGACAGACGCATCCGGTAAGTTCCACCAAACCTCGCAGCCGGGGGACCCTTAGCTCGCTTGTTCTCCTAAATGGGACTATACACCTCCGAAACCCAGTTTCTGGGTGTGGGTTGTGGGAATGGTCACTTGGATTGCTGGACTTGAAGTCATAACCCAGCCGCGGCGACGGCACTTTACCAACACGATTCCAAGCTGGCATCCGCACACATACCCCTCGAAGCAAGCACCACTCCCACAGTACTCCCATAACCAATGACTATGGCGTTGTGCGGAGCCCTTGTCATTCCAGGTTGTGATATGTCAAGGGTCCAACATATAATTTACACATATTTATAGGCAAGCCCCAACAACAGTGCTTCATTACTTTTGGTTTTCCAAAATCACAACAAAGAGGTATTTTACATGATCAAAGTCAGCCCCTGGGCGAAACATCCCCGTGTTCCAGCTTTGACCCCAAAAACCGTCCAATTGAGGAAGATTGTTGTGCTGGTTTTCCGCTACCATCGGAGCCACCAGCTTTGCTCGCGATCTCTATGTCTCTCTCTCTCTCTCTCTCTCTCTGCCGGCCGAACCACGTAGAGGCCCAGCCCCATCGCATAGTCCACCACAGCTGTCACCGACTTCGTGAGGGTTGAGTCCGCATCGAAATCTGAAGAAGCCACAAGCATGCATGTATGCATATACAGGTTTTTAGTCATACTTATGCTATACATAGGCATGAACTATAACACACATATGCGCGCGCCTCGCAGGGCCGACCGGGGGAGGGAGCCTGTTTGCCTTCGTGAATAACGAAACATGACCGCACCAACCCCAACCCCTGGAAAGAATGCATTGCAGCCCCAAACAACTCCTCACGGATAGTACACCCGCACGTGTGTACTTTTGTATGTATTTACCTGTATGCGTATGTGTGTGTGTGTGTATGCGTGTATATGTATATGTATATGTATGTACACGTATGTATACATATGGTTGCATATGTTATCGTGCATCGTGTATGGGTGTGTGTGTGTGTTTGCTGCGTGTGCTCTTTCTGTCTTTCTTTATTTCTTTCTTTCTTTCTTTATTTCTTTCTTTCTTTCTTTCTTTCTTTCTTTCTTTCTTTCTTTCTTTCTTTCTTTCTTTCTTTCTTTCTTTCTTTCTTTCTTTCTTTCTTTCTTTCTTTCTTTCTTTCTTTCTTTCTTTCTTTCTTTCTTTCTTTCTTTCTTTCTTTCTTTCTTTCTTTCTTTCTTTCTTTTTCTTTCTTTCTTTCTTTCTTTCTTTCTTTCTTTCTTTCTTTCTTTCTTTCTTTCTTTCTTTCTTTCTTTCTTTCTTTCTTTCTTTCTTTCTTTCGTTATTTCTCTCTTTCTTTCTTTCTTTCTTTCTTTCTTTCTTTCTTTCTTTCTTTCTTTCTTTCTTTCTTTCTTGCGTTCTTTCGTTATTTCTTTCTTTATTTCTTTATTTCTTTCTTTCTTTCTTTCTTTCTTTCTTGCTTTCTGTCTTCCTGTTCTTTTCTTGTATTTCCTTTTCTTTCCTGTTCTTTTTTTGCTTTTGATTCTGTCTTTTCTTTCATTTTGTTTCTTTTGTTTTGCTTTTCTATATTTGTTCTTTCTTTATTTGTTCCTTTTATTTTATTTTATTTCCTTTTACTTCTTTGTTTGGCTTTTCTTTATTGTTTATTTCTTTCCTTTTATTTCCTTTTTTTACTTATTTATCTTTTATCTGTCTTTCTTCCGTGTCTTTTCTTTTCTTTCCTTTTCTTTCCTTTTCTTTTTTTGCTGTTTTGCTTTTGTTTTATTCTTTCTTTCTTTCTTTCTTTCTTTCTTTCTTTCTTTCTTTCTTTCTTTCTTTCTTTCTTTCTTTCTTTCTTTCTTTCTTTCTTTCTTTCTTTCTTTCTTTCTTTCTTTCTTTCTTTCTTTCTTTCTTTCTTTCTTTCTTTCTTTCTTTCTTTCTTTCTTTCTTTCTTTCTTTCTTTCTTTCTTTCTTTCTTTCTTTCTTTCTTTCTTTCTTTCTTTCTTTCTTTCTTTCTTTCTTTCTTTCTTTCTTTCTTTCTTTCTTTCTTTCTTTCTTTCTTTCTTTCTTTCTTTCTTTCTTTCTTTCTTTCTTTATATATTTATTTATTTCTTCCTGTTCTTTTCTTGTCTTTCCCTTTCTTTCCTTTTCCTTTTTTGCAGTTTTGCTTCTTTCTTCCTGTTCTTTTCTTTTCGTTCCTTTTCTGTCCTTTTCTTTTTTTGATTTTCTTTCTTTCTTTATTGCGTTGTTTCTCTATCTGTCTCTCTCTCTCTCTCTCGCCCTATCTCTCTCTCTCTCTCTCTCTCCGCATACATTCATTGTATCGATGTGCACAAAACCGTATTTTGCACACCTGAGTGAGTGTGTGGGTATGTTCGTGTGCTGTGTGCGTGTGCGTTGTGTGCGTTGTGGCGTTGTGTGTGTGTGTTGTGTGAATTGGGTGTTTGTGCTGTGTGCGCTGTGCTGTCTCTTGTTCTCTCTATCCACCTTTCTGTCTCTCGCCTTCTCTCCCCCTCTGTCTCTCTCTCTGTTTTTCGTGGTGTTCATGGACGTGGTGTGTCTGTGTAGGTCTTGTGTTTTGTGTGCGTGTGTCTGTGAGTGCGTCGGTGCTTCAATCTTGGTTCCACGCACATCAGACAATTACCATCAAAGACCTCACTTTCGGGCAAGTGAGACTAGAAACGTACTTTCCTTTTGGGGAACGCCTGTCCATGACTGCATGGGTGGGCCAGCAAACTGGCCATCCTGATAGAGAAGCCTTCCTAGCTCCCCGGACTGTGACGAGGTGCTGCCGTTCCAGGTGACGGGGACGCGGATGTGCTTGAAACCTGCCGAGTTTTTCGCTGCCTCCCCAAGTCGCCCCAAAACGAGAAAGAAAGCCACAGAAAACCCCTCAAACTGGGCTGAAATCGAAAACTCGGAGTCGCCCAAAATGGAAACAACCACCAAACCCAAACCGAAACCCCTCAGATGGCCGGGAACCACCCAGATTCTGGGGCGCCCCCTCTCACGTCGCCACAAACCCACGAGAGCTATTGGGATCTGCTTGAAAGAGTTCCTGGAAGAAGCGTTCGGCAACAAGATACTTCCGCTTCGTTTGGTTTTCTCAGTTGCCCCGGATGAGACCCAGAAAGAAAAGGTGATCACCTTGTGTTCATACACTAAAAATTGGCACTAAGAATTGGCCCTAAAAAGGGGAACCAAAAGGTCACAAGGTCGATTGGCTTTGGTTGCAAGTGAATTTTGGAAGGTTGCATGTTAAAACATAATGAGGATAATTCTTTACATGGCGCCAACAAATTGTAGTGCTGAATGTTGTTCTTCTCGGCTTTGCCAGGCTCTGAATCCAAATGGCTACCCAAACACTCGATGGACTCGACGATCCTCTTGAGTGAGACATCTCTGTTGGGGCCAAATGGGTGTGTCTCAACATCAGGAAACGCCAAAAGGGTCGGGGAATGGCGTTAGACCAGAGAAACTAAAAAGGGAGGCCACAAAAAATGACACATCCAAATCTGTTCGGAAACAAAGTTGCCTGCTCACATGTAAATTTGGCGTCACTCTGTGTGTGAACTCGTTGGGGTGGGCAAATATCACACAGAATGCCAAATCATTCCCCAGAGTTGTGGGAATGTCCCACTGTGATATCAACGGAAGGTCTTCCAAATGACTTGTATCCAAACAAAGAGGACCACAAATGCCTGGATTGCTTGAGACTTCCTTTGGCAAACTATCTAAAACAGGTCACGAAACAACATGCCCCTCTCCAATCACAATGACGAAATACTGGAACCAAAGTTGCAAATGCGGGGGCAAGACCTTGAAGTTCCGCTTGTTCTGCCAAGGTAAATTAAACATGTAAGGTCAACTGTTTAGACCCTGTTGCTCAAACTCTGTTGTCAAAGCGGAGCACTTGGTCTTTTTGGGTGGCCCCAGAGCCCACTAGCCAGAGGCTTTGCCATAAGGGCTGGTGAGAATTCGAAACAAGAGTCGCCGTAAGGTTTCCTCACCCGTGGCGGCATTTCTAGACTATGGTTGCAATGGAGTGGACTGTAGGGCTACCCCCCCACCCAAGATTCCTTAGCTGGCCAAAAACGTGAATCTTCAGAGGGCCACCACCCAAGCCGTAAAAACGCCACTTTTAGCATTTGACTTGGGAGAAAACTCCTTTGGGACAAAACGAGAAAAGAACTATGGTACCACCAGAGCCGACTGGAGATTCACACTAAAAGACTCACACAATTGGGTCAAGCGCGATTCGGGCGAGACTGGGCCTTGCTCCTGAGCCCACTTCACGTGTGCTTCCACCTCCTCCGGTGCTCGGCCCATGCCCGGGTAGTCAAAGGTGTTGCCGATGTTGATCCTCAGAGGGTCCATCACCCGACCCTGAGATGCGGAAACTTGCCGGAGCCGGCATGTTGCTTCATTTCTCCAAGAAAAAAGGAGCATTTTGTTTATATATATTTTTTAGGAGGGAGAAAAGGCGTCAAGGTCCCCTTCCACTAACATGAAAGGGTCCATCCTAACAAAACAAAAAGTGCCTTCCAGGACCCTCGATTCCATGTTGCTTTGATGTCCAACCAACTTAGTAACCATGTTTATAACTTGGATAACTGGGGTTGGCCACCTTGGTTGAACATCCAAGTAGGGGACGGGAGGGTAGGTCCTGAAAAGGTACTTCACAGACAGAGTTCGCCGACCGAACATCATAAGGTGAACTGGTCAAGGCGCTTTGGAAAGCACGGTCAATATTTAGTGTGTGCCTAACATGGGGATTTTGGTGAGAACCCCTCCCCATTTCTTCGTGTTGATTTGGTGTGCCCTATGTCATCCCCCAGCAAATGATGGAGCCCTAGACGGGGGGGGCTATCCCTGGAAAAGCCCTCAAAGGAGAATCGCACAACACGGAAACGTCCACAAACTGCTCTTTGCACCGGTATTGCAATGGATTTGAAGCAAGGAGAGGACTTTGACACCTCCTACAGTTTGGTTACCCCCAATTTTGAAATGGGACACACTAGTCAATCAGAGGATTGTTGATCTGCGTTCGAATTAGTGTTACTGTGCAGAAACCAGTGCTCACCTGAATCATTGACATGATGCAACCGCATAGGCCTCTGGATTCCCTGGGAAAGGGAATCCCCACGTGAGCCACAATCAAAACCGGCACTAAAATGGTGAACCCAGAACCACGTAAAGAATTAAGAAGGCGGCCGCAGCTGTTTATGGCTGGCCTTTCCTAACCGTCATCCACCCGGGTTTTGATTGTGGCTCAAGTTGAATTGTTCGGGGGGAACCCCTCCAAGAACAGACGAACAACCAGGCATGGTCCACTGGTGATCTGCAGCAAAAGCCCTCTCATGAGCATCTCAGCATGGCTCGTGCGCGAGCAGTCCAAGAGACACTCTGTTTATGGGGGCGGGGTCCGGTCGCAAAAACACACCAGACTTTTAGATGGCACCATTGCCTGTTTTTTCGGCAAGTAAGAGCATGACAAAACCAAAAATGGGAAAGCACTCAACTGTCGAATAATGTTCGTTCATACTGCAAAACCGGTAAAGGCAAGCTTTCCAGTACCAATCTCTGGCTGGCCACTCCAATTACTCCTCTTATTCCATGGCTTTGGTCCAACGCAGTGTCCTTTGCCACTTCTCTGACCAAATTGGCCTCTGGGTGTGTCCTCTCTTGGTACCCTTTTTGGGTTTAGGGAAACCGTGGCCATTTCACCCGTTGGGACCATCGGAATCCAAGAAGCCTCCCTCTTTTGCCCTCTCGTCGATCCAACAGCCCCACCCAACCCCTCCCAACAGCGACCGCTAAAGGGGAAAAGCGTCCCGCGCTCCATCTTCTCAAAAGCACCTCCGCTCGAGTCCGATGCTCCCACGGTTGGAAGACCCGAATCCAGGGTGTCTAACCCAAAGCACAACTTCTCAGGTCGACATTCGATACATTGGGTATGGGTTTGTGGCTCAAAAAGCGTATCTGATGGGTTGTCAAAGCTAGTGGGTTGTTTGGGGGGAACCCCTTTGTCATGTCCTTCTTCCGAATAATAAAGCGGCCCTAATAAACATTGACTCCAACATTCCAAAGAAGACCAGAAACAAAGCACAGGTCCGGGAATACGCGACCAAGCGGTGGCTTCCGCTCCGCGGTTCCCGGTTCCCGTGTGTTTCCCTATGTCTTTCAGATCAAAAGGCTCTGGGTAAAGCCAAAGGCGGCAGAGGGGGCGGCACCCATGCGCAAGTTGTCTCCAACCAGTCGTTTCTATAGACGGGTAATTCGTTGCTAGGTCAACCTTGCTTTCCCTCTGCCGAATTAAAAGGGAGCAGCACTGCGTCGCGAACATAGCAGTCGGACGAGATACAAACACGGCAAACATTGACATCGACCTGCACAAGCGCGGCGCACATTCACGCCTCAGCAAACAAATGCTTCCACCTCCAATAGTGACATACGGACCAAACGCCATACCAAAAGAGGGTGGAATAGACTTGTAAAGCAATCCTTTTCACTTAACCGCAGCATTGACAATTCCTAAAATTAGGGCTGTTGGGAAATCCAAATGAGTCACTCATAATTGCCACAATCCTGATCATTACACGTCGCAAAAAGCAACAGACAATTCGACAGCGGCAACCCCTTCGTAACCAAACAAATACTTCCCTACAAATAAACCTGGGAGCCCAGAAAAGAGAGAGCTCTTTACCAAAGTCAGGTATGACCCTGACCTCATCTTAATTCAGATGGTTGATTCCCTTGGTATTACCAGCCAATGCCCCCACTTCCGACACGAGTTAAGCCTGCCCCCGAGCCTCTCGTTGGGCACTAAGGAGCTGTTCCTCTCTAAGGTTTGGCAAAAGGAGATTCTATTTGCCTATGTATATATATATACAGTAATATTATATACATATATAAAGTCCCCTGAAAAACAGTAATAAAGATTCCCCTTAAAAACAAGGCAGCCTCCAATTCTGAAAGTCATGTTAGTTGCAATTCCAATGAAATGGTCGTGCTGTCCGGGGTGGGCGAAATTCAAAAGTTTTTGTGTTCCAACATAGCCTTGAAGCAAACTGTCCCGGTCAATGATGTTAAAACCTGGACAGACGCGCGCTCTTCAGCCATTGTAGCCCTCTGCGCTCGTCGACCATGTGTCAGCCAGAGTCAAGTTTTCCTCCGAAACGCACATCCAGCATCATTGCCACAGCACTTTGCTTTTGGTGGCCACAGCACTTTGCTGCAGGGAGGTTGAGCAAATGCCGAGACTGCTCAGTGCACTCGCAGAACAAGTGTGCTGAGCGGCCAAAAGCAAAACGAACCAGCGAACCAGCGGGAGCGTGATGAAAGTTGATGGCAGCAAGTATAAGTGGGACGCGGAATCTGCTAGGCCAAGAAGCGAAGAAAGAAGCGATCTTCAATCAAGGCAAAACCCTGAACAATCTATCCAAAGGGACAGCAGGTGAGAGGAACGCTACGCGATGAAGATCCTCCAGATACGCCACCGAAACAGAGAAAAAGCCCCCAAGACACGGATCAAAGTCGGGAGGAAGCGAACACAGGCCACCAAGCCGAAGAAGCAGAAGGAAGGACAAAGCAAAGAGTGCGCGCGCGCAAAGCATGAGCCGAGATCTGCGAACGTTCGAAGCTGTCTCTAGCGAACGTCATCATTCCCCCCCGGCGAACCAGCCGCTCCCCAAAAACAAGGAACGATAAACACAGTTTTCCCAGCCACACAAAAGCATAACTTCTCATAACATCAATAAATTTGAAATAATAATCGGACACTCAGAGTTTTCCTATTATTTGAGGGGGAAAAAAAAAAAACACATATTTCAGTTCAATTCTTCTTCGAACTTGCTCGATTGACTATACTGGGAGCTGGAAGAAACAAAGTTACTTATTTGTCCATTCTGACGACGAAACACATTGGCACCAACCATCTTGGTAAGGTTCTGCTGATATGTTTAGTCTCAAGCGAAGCTTGCCAGACAGCGACAGATCAGACAGAAAAGCGGTACATGGGTTCCGAAAATTCCCCCCAAAAAAAAAAGAAGTTGTCGTTTTCCCTTACCCTGACTTCCCCCCCCGGAAAAAAGAATGTGGTTGGTTCCGAAATTTCCCCCCTCCTAAGATTGCCCGTTCCCCTGCCTCACCTTGGCCCCTGTGCGCCAAAGAGATCAGACCAGTGGCTGGCACACTCCAGGCTCGAGCTATGCGACGTGGTCGCAACCTGCATTCCGTGCCCTCGGTCTTCACCGGTCGGACTGACCCCGAGAAAAACGGATATTTTTACATATGCGTTCATTTTTTTACGTAAACGTTCCACCACTATGTTCTTATGGTTTCCTTTATGGTTTCCTTTATGGTTTTCGTACTAAAACGTAGCACCGGCAAGTACTTTAAAACTCCCCACAGGTTCCACTCCTAGGGCTCCTTCTATCACAATCAAGTTCCACTGGACCCTTCCACTTCCACTTCCATGCCTGGACAAGACGAGAACCTATGTCCAGTGATTGCTTGGGGATGCTTTGTCAGAATCTGGAAGCGACCATAGGCCTTTGGGAAAAATAGATGGGTTCCCCTGGCAAATGGAACAAAACCCATCTAAACCAGTGCCATCAATTGTTTAACCAAACTAAGCTAAAAAGGGCGCCTATCGAAGCGACCCATTTGGTCGGTTCCAACGCGTGCAAACGAGTTGGACAGCCCAAGGAACTCCTCAGCTCAAAATAATCCGAGAAGTTGCGCGAGGCGTCGCTGCGTGACAAACCTTCTAATGGGTCCCGGACCCTTCGGTGCGACTCATGTGGCTGTGCTTGTCAAAACCGTTTTGGTACACACCCATTTTAGAACCTATTTTAGTGGGGATTGGGATGTTCACTGGGGGTACAGATTTTGACCCATGGCCATAAGCCATCCAAAAAAGGAAGAAGAAAAAAAACACAAACAAACACACACACACACACACACACACACACACACACACACACACACACACACACACAGCGTGGCCAAAGGCCAAGGCCAAGGCCAACGGACCTGCTTGCAGCTTTGGCTTCGAAACCGCTGGAGATTCTCACTTCATTTGCTGAGAGCCCAAAAAGAAGAACCAAACTGTTGTTCGCCATTAACATGGTCCAGACCTTGGCTTCCAGTTGGTTGAGGCTCTTTTAGATGAGACATGAAGTTGGAGCTCAGTTTCACCGTCTGCTTCCCAACCCAAAAAGTGACGAAAGTCCAGACAACTGGATCGCGTCCAACCCGGTTTGAAGCTCACAGCGCCTTCGTCAACGTCCTCAGCGCACGAGCACGGGCCACAAAACCATGCGTCGTGGTCTCCTCATCTTGGCAAAAAACAACTCAGTGACAAGAGAAGGCAAACCAAAGCTTGATTTGCCACTCGGTAGGGGTTGCTTTCGAGAAAAGCCGAGAAACCCCGTACATGTTCTGGGGTCTGACTCCTGTTTTAAGGCACATTTGGACTTCGAAGCAACAGCCCCTTGCTCCGCGGGAAAGATCCATCTTCGGGCTAATCACAATAATCCTGAAACAAGGGACTCCAGCAAAGGATCATTCTCATTGACCAGTTCGCAGACCGTCTTTTCAAGACTTATTTGACTTGCCGCAACCACTCAGCCTCGCAAAAGCGACCAGAGCAACTTGGAAACAAAAACTATCCCCGGCGAAATCCCGCATTGCGACTTGAACGCTCAGAGGTCCTGGTGATTCCAACTAGTGAATCAAGGCTGCACCGGGAAGGAACCTGACACCAGACCCGCCAAGGCACTGGACCAACGCGCCCGCATCAGGCTCCTGGCGCAAAAACGAAACGCGGGTGTGCGTGGGGACCCGCTAAAATGGTGGTTTCCGTTTGGTGTCCATTCAAGAAATAAATAAAAATGAGCCTCCAAAAACAACGACGAACCCGTGGTGGGTTTGGCTCAAAAGCGGGAGCTCATGTCTGTGTGCGCATGATGATGAGTCTCCTGTAGGACTGTGAACAATGTGAACTACCGTAAGCGAAGTGAAAACTGGTACTGATGAGCAAATAAGCTATGACATGAGAGAGCACGGCCGTCAATGAATGTACATGGGTTTGTCTCAAAATAGAGAAACTCTTAAAATGGGTGTTTTGCAAAAAGGGTCTCTCAACAAAGACACCCATGGGATAAAGGAAGAGTGTAAGGCCGTATCCCAAGTTACTTGCTTCCCGAGCAGGTGGGAAAATGTGTGTGTGTGTGTGTGTGTCCCGGTTGAGGGAAACTTAGAGCTCGTCCCCCGTTCTCGTCCCTACTGGACCCATCTTGACCGAAACTCATGAAGTCCAACCTTCGTAAACGTGAAACAGGGCAACCTGCGCAAACCATCAAAAAAGGGCGTGATCAAAATGGAAGAACCCCTATACCTTCGGACCCAGTGCACAAGTCTGACCTTTCCGCCCCCCTTCCCCCCCCAAAACAAAAAGGAGAAAGAAAGGATAAAAAAAAAAAAAAAAAAAAAAAAAAAAGATCAGAGACGGCGTTGTGTTTGAGTTTCCATGTTGACCCTCGGCCCGGTTGCCGTATCTCTGGGTGCTCAAATGCCCCTTGAAACCCCTCAAAACCGTCGAAGGGTACTTGTTCAGTTTGGTTTGAAAAAAACAATGTCGGACACCAATATGGCCATGGGCTTTTCAAAACCCAAAGCAGGTAGGTTCTAAAATGGGTGGTGCACCGAAAACCCCCAAAATGGTACCAAAACGGTTTTGACCCACAGCCATATGGGTGTGTCTGAAAACAGGGACCCCTAACCAAAAACAAACTGGTGTCCCTGGTGTTTCCCTTTCAACCAACCCCAAGAAGGGTAGCCTCAACAAAAACGGACACGCGCCCATCTGGAAGACACGAAAATGGGAGCTCTCACATGCCGGGACCCCGCGCGCAGGCGTCTTCCGCCAAAGCCCTCAAGACCAAGAGCCCCAAAAAGCGCCTCAGCGACTCACAGCTTCGACTGGCGTGGTCAAGTTCCCGTTCACCCCCCTTCCCAACCCCCCTCCCCCTTGGGGGAAAAAAACGATGAAAAAGGCATCTCACTCCACAGTTAGGCACAAGGAAGATGCTTCAAATGAGGTGGGGAAAGTGCAGGGCCCTTCAAACACCGGTCACCAAAAGGTGGAACACCCAGATCTTGCTGTACACCTTTGCACGGTTGAAATAGTGCACAGTTGGATTTCTATGCATGGCAACTGAAGCTGCTATGATGAGTGCCGTTCACATGCTAGAAAGGGACAAGCAGAACAGCAGCAGCCCTGCTTCTCCAATTGCACTAGGTTGGCCATCAAAAGATTTGCAAATTACTGTGGAAAATTACACCCAGAAACAGTCATGCTTGGACGTTTGGCCTGCAAAGTTTGTGTTGGGCATTTTTAGGTTTGGGCATACCCCTCACGCTGTGTTTCGGTAGCACCTTGGGGTCAGGTTCCAACTCCCCAAAGCAACACCAACCAAAGTCAAGTGAACTCGACCGTCAACAAGTTGTCCCGCAAGTAGAGCTCGCAGGTCACGCGTTTTCCATGTAGCTGCGTTGCTGGTGCAACGATTCGGCTTAAGGGGTCCCTAGGTGGGCCAGGGCCAAAAATGGCGATCGTAGCCTCTCCATGAAACATGCTATACACGGCTGAGGCTTACACACTGACATGCCCCAAAGATCTCAGGCGAAGCTTGCCATTTTCTGGCCGCTCCGGAGAAACTCCGTCCAACTCACGTCGGGGCTCACGTCAGGTTCCTCTGGGGGTGCCACACCAGGGGACTTCTTATTCTTCTTCTTGGCGGCGATGAAGTCTGGGTCGTACTTCACCGTCCACAGCTGCTTGCGCTCGAGGAACGGTCTCAATCCCTCCTGAGCCTGGGCCTTTGTCAGCCCATCCGCAAGCTGGGCCTCCGATGAAACCCACAGCAAGGAAGTGTTCTGGCGTCTGAGGTTCTCGGCCGTCGCCATGAGCTCAAGCGCCGCATACTTCTCCTTCATGGAGTACCCCGCTGAAGCTGTGTCCTCCTTCCAGAAGGCGTCATAGACGGACTTCGCGTCGATGACCAGAGCCGCGTCCACTTTGATCGTCGCGTCCTCCGGCCGGCGCAAGTCCAGCTGGTAGCCTAGCAGTTCTGCCCAAAGCGCCCGGCAGAACATCAGCTCCTGCTCGCCTTCCGCCAGAGATTGAATCTCCGCCGACAAGCTGCTCTTCGCCACCCGATGCAACTTGCCACACTTCCAGGAAATCGGGTTCACGGGCACCCGCTTTCCATCCAGAATCGACCGATGTGCAAGGCCGACAAGGTGTCCTCCAGTTGAACCGAGGTCAGGTCGATTCCCGACTGCTGCATCCGTCCACGTCACCATGATGAGCTCCTCATCCGCCTCTGCTCCGAGTTGTTCAACCCCGATGCTGAGGCTTCGTTGTTGATATACTTCACGACATAGTTTGTTGATCTCCTTCACAACGTCCAAGTTGCCCTTAGGCAAGGCACTCTGCAGCCAAGACAACTTCGCTGCATGCTGTAAGCCCGTCTGCTGGACTCTCCATTGCACCGCACCAAGCACAGCCCGGCACTGGCTCATGATGGAGTTGTTCATCTCCTTGTCGTTGGGGCCGAGCTCAACCTGCTTGAGCTCCTCGCAGTACTGCGTGTGGTCCAGGATGAAGCCATAGTCGTTCTTCTGCATGAGGTTAATGCCGCAGTGCGCGAAGGGCATCGCCTCCCAAGGCGACCAAGCGAAGGACTTGAAGAGGATGTCTAGGGCCGCAGTCCACTTTGCATTGGTCTCGTCGCCGGTGATCAGAAAATCATCGACGTGAGCGCCGATCGCGCCAACCACCTTCCCGTTGTCCTTAAAGATCCACAGGCAGGGGTCACATTGCAAGCGGGTCAGGCCGGCCTTCTCCTGCATGACATCACACACATCCAAGAACCATTCTCTTGGAGCCGAGGCAAGTCCGTAGGCAGCCTTGAGCAGGCGAACCGCCTGTCCCCGTGGCAATCCCATAGCTTCTGAAAGCTCTTCCACCGGGACGGCAAAGATGTTCCTCTTGGCCTGATTGGAGCTGCCCTGCAAGAAGGCGGACTTCGCGTCAGCCTTGAGGCAATCCCACCGCTTGTGCGTGGCCAAGTTCAAAAGCAACATTTTGCCCCGCCTCGAAAGAGTGGGGGCGGCAGTCACGAGCTCGGTGAGGTCAGGGTCGCTGTAACCCAAGAGCACGATCCGGGCCTTTGCCTTCACATAGTCGGCGCTGTCCCCGGCCTTGAAGGTCAGCACCCAGCGCATCCGCATCAAGCGATTGGCCGGGATCTGCACATCCGCCTTGGCACAAACCTTGCGAATGATCCACTGGTCGACCTCGAGCTGCTTGGCTTCTTTCATAGCTCTTCTCTGCTCCTCCGACAACCTGCGCCATTCCACCTCCGCGCCCTTCTGGACGTTCTTGGCCGCGAACTTGGCTGGGTTCTTCACGATCTTCTTCCACTCCATCTCATTCGCGGGGGTCGGGATGGTGATGCCGAAGATGCCATTCTCTGCCTCTTCCTCAGCGACGTACTGGACAGGACTCGAAGAGGAAGCGGCAGGCAGGCTCTTCCTCACATGAAGGGGAATCTCCTCTCCTTCATGGCTCATTCTCTTCTTCCGGAACTTCTCCCGTTCCTCCGGCGTATATCGTTCCAGCGGGTTGTAATTCAGGTCGGAGAGCAGCCGATCGATGTCGATCTCGTCCTCGGGTGATGCCGGAGTTTCCGACAGCTGGCGCTTGCGACTCTCCGGATCCTCGATGAGCTCGTCATCTTCCTGTGGTTCTGGCTTGAAAGGGATCTTGGGCTCGCTACTCCGGCGTTCCATTCGAAGTCGGCTCCGGCTTCTCCCTCGCAGCTCAGATCTCTGCTTTAGCCCAAGTTTCAAGGATCCTTGGGTGAGGTCGTCAAACTCGCCCTTGTTGAGCTGGCTAACGAGCTGCGTGAAAGTCCACGGCATGCCAGCAACATCTGTGTTTTCCGCAATGAGGCGCTCGGTCTCTGATGCGTGTCGAAGCTGATTGCGGTGAACCTTCTTCAGTCTCCCCTGGGAGATGATCCAGATGGAGCTGCTCGCTGACCGATAAATTCCCTCTTCTCTCACGCGAGTTTCGGCCGCCAGCACCCGTCCAGGTCCAAACCATCGGCCAACACGCAGTCGAGGCACGTCAACTTCATCATGCGCTGGTCGATCACGAGGGGTCTTGAACCGCTTGTAGTAGACGAGGTCTCCCGGCAAAAACTGGTTCACCGGGGCTGCTCGCGAGTTGGTTGCCCGGCTCAGCTTGGCCAGGTCTTGCTGCTTCTTGTACTGTGCTTCGGCTTCTCGGCGAAGGCGTAGTTGCACTTCCAGGGGATGACCAGGCAACTGCGCATGCGAGGCTGAAGCTGGGTTGAGGTCCTCCTCCGGAAAACGGCCAAATGCCCACTGAGCTGGGGCATATCCTCCAACACGTGCTTGAGTGTTATGTGCACCGACCATCGCCCAAGCTGCTTCGCGGACAGAGCCGTCTCGGGCTTCCCGAAGAAAAACTTCCACCCGATGCCGAACTTCTCCAACTGCTCGTTCAACATCACCCGTCGAAGCATGGTACTCGGCCGGAACATGGGCAAGCTCTATCCCACGCTCTGCACAGAAACGTTCCAAGTCTCTGCCTCTGAAACAACCTTCAAGGTCCAACCGGATCCGCTTGGGCATGCCGAAGTACTGGATCCAGCTCTTCTGAAAAGACTCCAACATCTCTGGCGTCGCCACGTTCTCGTGCTGGTCATCTGGGTGGGTCACGATCTCGTCGGTCACCACGTAGCCCGACGCCTCGTCAAGGTAGAGAAGGAAGTGGTGCACCTACGTGCCGATCCGCATGTAGAAGGTGTCAATCTGCACGGTGTGCCACAGGGTGTCTGCCTTCTCCAAGGAAACCTGGGTCATAGGCGTTGCCATGCGACCTTCCTGGCATTCCGGGCAGTTCAGCTGGTGAGCCACTGCTTGCATCTGCTCTGACGCTCCCCTCGATCTCAGGGCCCTGATGAGCGCCCTGTTGCTCGGGTGTCCACATTGACGGTGGAGCTTCAGGACCGTCTCCGCCAGCTTGTTGATCTCCTGGGAAGTGAGCCCGCCGAGGGCATTTTCCTGGGACTCTGTCGAGCCATAGGCCGCTGCAGTTTGCTGCATCATCGCCTTGGCCGCCGTCCTACAAAAGGAGGGAGTGTATCTCCCAGTCCTCTCCGGAAGTCCTCCTCCGAGACACGGCGCATGTTCATGGTCTCCAGGGCACAGACGGTGTAAGCTCTTCAAGTGCGTCTCATCTGTGACCCGAATCCTCCACGGCTTCTTGATGGGCCAGCCTTTGTCCATGAGGCCAAACTGGCACCCGTCCACAAGCACATCGTGGCATCGGTCTTGGGCTCTCAGCTCAGACCAGAACTTCTCGATGATGTCCCACTTCCAGGCGTAGTTCCCGCGAGGCCACTCTTGAGCAACTTCACCGCCAAGTTCGAGCTGGTATCGCGCCACGATCAGCGCTCTCTTCACCATAGCCTTCGACTTCTTGCGGCGAAGATCCCCTTTTCTCTTGCCCTCCTCGGTGATCTCGTTGAGGTTCTGGATGGGAGAGCTTGGCCCGCAGGGAAGACTTATCCAGAGCCATCGGGGACGATGCTGCTTGATCATGTTGAGCACGTTCTGGAGGCCCTCATTCTTCATGAGGTCGCAGTTGTTGAACAAACCAGCTCGACCTCCACGACCACCAGCTCGTTGTACTTCTTGAAGTAGTAGGCTCTCCGGTCCACAGCAGAGCTCCAGCACGTCCCACGGTTCCGGCACGCCGCCACAAACTTGAAAAGCCTCCTCGATGCGGTCCTGGGTATCCTTGACATTCTCCAGAAGATACAGCAGGTCCTCATCGGCCAACGGGAACTTCTCTACCGGCTGGTAGACACCGAGGTTGTCATACTCCAGGGTGTCCTCACCCTTCACGATGGCGAAGTCACCGTCCAGGAGCTTTCCGTCCGGGCGTCGTACTCCTGGTCTTCTGCCGAAACCTCGTTCTTTCTCATCTTCCTGCCTGGAGTCGTCTTGAGCTCCTCCGCATCGCTGGGCTGAGAAACACCCTCTTCTTTGATGTTCTCCTCGTGGTAGCCCTGCTTCGCGAGCGCCTTCGCCTTCTGAGCCTTGATCACCTCCAGGCGCTTCATCAAGCTTCTTTCCGCTCCCTCGAGGCAGATCGCCTGGTTCTTGAGAAGAGGGTTGTGTGCCGCCTCGTTCCCAAGGGACTCCACCACCTCCTTTGTGTCGCTCGGCAACGGTCCGGCCTGGCGGGTCATGGCATGAGCTCCGTAGGCTGGGGTGTAGCTCAGCCTGAGTCTGCACACCGCACACGCCGTCCAAATGGCATGGGCGTTGGATCCCGAAACCGAACCCCGGCCGGGACGTGCTTCCTGATGGTTGCCGTTGCATGGTGGCCCGGTCAGGCGAGGATCTCGAGGGTCTGGTCCCACTTGTCGTCCGTAGTCGAACTTCTCCCCCAGGGGACCAGTCGTTGGTTTGGTCTTGACCTTGGCCTTCGCTGCTCCCTTGCTCGCCGGGACGATCTCGGGTGTCTTGCCATTGAGGGGGTCCCTGGTCGTCTCCTTCTCGGATGCCATGGCGGGAGAGTAGCGAGGCTAGCGAATTGGACTGGGCGAGGATCGCTAAGAGATACCAACGCATCCCGTCAGCGGGGTCTTGGAGCCGAGCAGCCGGAGGCATAGAATGATCATCAATCACAAACACACACTGCTGTCTGTGATCACGGGCCAGTGACTTCGACGAAAACCTGGCCATGCCACTGCTTTCCGGCACGCTCATGGAATCCCACCCCCGTCCCGGAAGATGCACCATGTATGCTCCGTCAACGGGCTTGCTCCAGTTGAGAACGTCAGAGGTCTCTGTGCTTGACGCAAAACTCACTGCCGATGTGGCAGCTTGTGAACAGGGTCCGGATGCCAACTTTTGAGAGGCACGTCGAACAGGGGAGTTGGAAACCTCCCTCAGTGGTGCACTTGGTGGTAGGTGACGGGGAAGCTCCAATCTCTTGCCTGTGGTGAGCCAGTCCTCCTGCAGATTGATCAGGAGGTGGCCGCATCTGCTTTTCACTAACGGGATGGCGATGGCTGGATCCACCGCCTGCATGATGATAACTCCTTTGAAGACGTCTATGATGGCTTGCAACTTCCCGAGGGTCTTGATGCCGATCAGCACGGGGACGCCCGGCGCATCTAGGGTGTAGATGCCAAGAGATAGGCGCCGGTCTCCAAGGTTCTGGGGTAGCAGGAGATAGCTCTCGCTCTTCTGGATGGCCCCGTTGCCGAACTTGAAGGACTTCAACGGGGCGGGGACAACCTTGATCTCCTCCTTGACTCCCAGAACATGCCTACGGCCAAGAACAATGCGCTCCAGAGCCGTCAGGGAACCAACCGTCTCCGTGGCGCCGGTATCCAGCACTCCATATCCTTCCGACTCCGGGCTCTCCACCACCGCAATCATGATGGGGTCCGGAATCTTCTCCTGGTACAGGATGTCCCCGGCGTCCAAGGTCGTCTGATCTCCACCTCCAGGAAGACCATCATCTCGGGGAACTGAGCGAGTGCCACTCTGGGGGTCCACAAGGATGTAGGGATCCTCCGGGGAACCTGGGGCTTGGAAGACCTCCGCAGGGTCCAGGATGATCTCCGATTTCGTCATGCCGATCAAGTCCGGGTTGAACCTGACGTCTCCATCGCCTCCCTCCTCCAACTCGATCTGCTCCTCTCGCAGCATGAAGATGCCCAGGTGGCTTTCCACGAAGTAGCTCCCAGATGACTTCCCACCTTTGCCTTTTCCTCTCTTGGGGCAATGGCGAAAATCATGCTGTTGGGAACCACAGATGAAGCACCCGGTGTAACCCGGCTGACCCGGTTGCTGCACTGCAAGGACAGATCCGGCAGGAATGGGAGGGGTGGTTTCCATAGACAAAACCGAAGGCTGCCCCTTTCCTTTCTTTCCTTTGAACTTCCCTTTTCCACCTCCCTTTGAGGGGTAGAATCCCCGGTTGGCTCCTTTGGCAGCCATGACTCTCCGAGCCTCCTGAAACGTCCGGGCCTTCTGCTCGTAGGCCGCGTAGGCTTCCTGAACCTCCTTCAGCTGCTCGGGAGCCACCATCAACGAAGTCTGCTGCTGCGTCTCCCAGTCGGACCATGCCCAGTAGGTACCAGAGATGTCCTGGTGGTAGTACTCGCCGTCCCCGCCAGAGTCCCACCACAATTAGCCACCGTCTTCCTCCTGGTTCCAGAAGCCGTCTTCCATCACGCTCTCTAGGTTGTGCTCTTGCGTCTTGGTGGGGTAGTCCTGCATGGGGTTCTTGTTCACCCAGTGGACCTGGTTCAGGTCGACGAACTCCTCGACCTCCAGCTCCGTGCCCATGAAGATGCCCCACTCTCCATCTTCCTCAACCCAGAAGGAGCGCCCTTTTCCACCACCTTTTCCTTTCCGGCCTCCGGATTGATCCGGATGGGTGAGCTCCTCCTCCACCGCTCTCAGACCGCGCTCGACATCGGCGCTGTGCAGGCTGTTGTGGATGGAAGCCAGCACATTCAGACGTTGTGCCGACTTTTCCACGTCCTCGACCATGACCGCTTCCACCGCGGCTCAGATCTGATCGAGGATCTCCGCTTTCTTCATCAGGCTCATCTTCTCCATCTCCAAAGGCTTCCCGTGGATCGAGAGGCCATCCATCCCAGCCGTCCTCCCCGATCTCGCCCGTCTGATAGGGCTCCTCCTCGGTCCTTGCACGCGACCTCCTCGTCGTTGGCGATGAACTTGGCGATTGTTCAGCACGAGGAAGGTCTGGTTGTGCTCCAGGGGTCTTTGCTTCTTTGCTTAGCTGGGTGTGTTCTTGTCGAGCTCGCTGTAGCGCTCGCTGTAGACGGCGATGAGCTTCTCGCACATGTTGGCACCAAGAAGCCATTGACATCGTCGGGGGCCGTCTCAACCTCAGCAACAGCTCCTCTGCTCGTCAGGAACGGGAGTCTTGGCGAGGCGATTCTCCAAGTAGTCCAGGAGATACTTCGCACCGTCGTGCTGGCTCAAACGTTTGTGGTCAATCTCCTGGGTGACAAGCCATGCTCTCCCGGAGAGTTGCGAAACCAACTCCGGTCCCAGGTAGCGCCTGCGCCTCCTTCTCGTCCGTTCCCAGGCCAGCCTCACCTTCCGCACGAAGTCCAGCCAGGTAGCAAAGTCCCCATCCCAAGTGACCCGGAAGCTGTCCTGGTTCTTATCCCCCATGGATTCCCGAAAGTCCGAGGACAAAACCAGCTCCGGCGAGGACTCCTGGGATCCCGTGATCTCCGGCTGAAGGCAACCTGCTCTGAGACCTTCGGCTCCTCCACGAACAGGTTCCACCTCCAGCTCACCTTGGCGGTCAAAGCTTCCGGCAGGATGCCTCTCAGCTTTGCCGCCCGCCTGCTCTGTGGCAGGCTCCGCTACCAATTTCGGTAGCACCTTGGGGTCAGGTTCCAACTCCCCAAAGCAACACCAACCAAAGTCAAGTGAACTCGACCGTCAACAAGTTGTCCCGCAAGTAGAGCTCGCAGGTCACGCGTTTTCCATGTAGCTGCGTTGCTGGTGCAACGATTCGGCTTAAGGGGTCCCTAGGTGGGCCAGGGCCAAAATGGCGATCGTAGCCTCTCCATGAAACATGCTATACACGGCTGAGGCTTACACACTGACACTGTGTGAGGGCTCGTGTTCCATGGTTTTTGGATGAGTGATATGGATTTGTGTTTGCGTTCGTGGTTTGTTTAAAGGCACTAAAGGGAGAAAGGCATCCTGTTGGGGTTCCCTTATTTTCAGACACACCCATATATATGGATGGTCTTTTCTGAGGACACCCCAAAAAACTCATTTGATCTGACCGGATGGGAAAACCCTTTGGTCCATTTTTAAAGGCACCAAAAGGCGAACACTTTGTATGTTCTGGTGTCAAAGGAAAACTTAAAAAAAAAAGAAGCTCACTTTGAAGGTCGCCTGTTAAGTCAAGACCAAAAACTGGGCAAAAAACGGCCCCCCAGGCAGCCAAGCAGCATGTTGGCTGCACGGCTAAATACAGCCGAAGGCTTTGGCGCTCTGAGAGCCGAATAGCCGAGCTGCAGGGCAAAGCAGCTATGACGAGGGCATTGAAAACTTGATGGGAGAACTTGGCTCACGCCAGTCACAAGAAAAATGGTTGGTGAATAAACTCCCACCACTTGATATCACCACTTGAATATCCACCACTTAAACATCCACCATCCCCTCACTTGATTGAAAAAAAACACTTGTTGATGGCGGTGAGGACCGGGGGAGCCCCTCCAAAGCACACCTCCCGCCCTCTCGACGCCCGCTCCGCAAGCGCCCACCCGTGACAGGTGCCACCATCAAGGCCCCGCACAGGTGACAAGGCACAGACAGCCATAGGTTCCAGAAAACGGCAGCCCGACGCGGAAACTTCCGTCAACTCCTCAACAACCATGTCTTCATTGTGCCCAAGCGCAGACCATGGAGAAGTTGCTGTTACCATTGTCTCTCTGAGTGTGAGTTCCTCAAATCCGCTTCTTGATGTGGAACTGGCTGGTTTTGTCCGAGTCCAAAAGCAATAGCAGGGAGCCCTCTTGCCTTTCCTTCCCCGGCGGTGCTGTTTTGGGAAGCCTTGCACGTATCTGAATAAGAATTCTCTCACGGGACTCCGTATCTCCGGCCCGTGGACCGGCAGCTTCAAGACGTACGGCTGGTGACTGGAGGCAATCGCCGACATACTTCTTAAGGCAAGGCGCCAAAGTTGAATACCCAATCTCAGAACAAAATGGAAACCTACACCAAGACAAAGAACTCCTGGAAGTTGCCAAGCTGCCAAAAGGGTTGAGGTTGGCAGACGTGCAGACAGTAGTAAGGAACTACAGCTTATACTACCCTATTAATTTGCGGTTTTGGCCCGAAGAAGGTGCATAATCAGCACTTTTTGTGCCAATGTCACCGCTTTTTGTGGAGAAGTCACCGCCCGGTGACAAGTTCAGCAGGGTGGAAAAAGGGCACAAAATGGCCAATTTCCGGAATTTATGAAAACCTCGAGATTTTCCTGGATTTGGTAAGTCTCAACATGTTTTTGTAGTGTCACATGGTTTTTATGCTTTTAGAATCACATCGCAGTGTTTTCTTGTGAGTTTCATGTCATTCAATCAGTATTTGGGCTGATTCAACATGGTGTTCATGGTGTTTGACGAGTTTTGTTGTAAATTTATGGTTCTTGAATCTTGCTGGAAATGAATGCAGTTTGTGGAAACCAGCTAAATTTGCAGCGTTAAGCATGGTTTGACACAAATTTCAAGACCTTCTGAAACACATCGCAATTACTCGGCTTGTTTCAGCCGGCGCAGTCCACCGCAGCCTAAACCCTAGGACCAAACAGCACAACCATTCAATTTTCGCGCGCAACTGCTGTAAGTTATTGTCACTTCTCTGCCTCAGACGAATCCCAAGTCCAGCTTTCCCACTTCTCCCAGCTGCAGCCATGCATTCGCCGGTCAGAAAACGGCTCTGCAGGCGTCCAGGCCTCAAAATCTCGGCATTGATGTCAATCTTGGTTCATGGGCAAAGGCAAGCCGGGGCCACGGCAGCCTGCACAGCTTGTCACTGTTTGGGTTGTCGCGTCATTGCCGGGAATGCGAGGCCCAGCCCAGGGTGCAGCTGCAGAGATGCCCACTTTGGGGCCCCATGCCGCGATCACCACACACGCGATCATCTGCTCACTACACGTCATCGTTTCACATGTCATAGCCGGGATTCAAGCCCCGGGCCAGCAGCCGGTGCAGAGAGGCGTTGCAGGGGTAGCCAGCCGCAACAGGTTTTCCGAAGTGGGCCAGCAACCCCGACTACGGCAAACTCACAGAGGTCGCCCACGGTCCGTGTCACCCTGTGACACAAACTATCGTAATCTTCCAAGCTCGTGATAACCGCACGTTTTCCGCAGTGTGTCCTCCGACGCCACACTGCCTAGCGAGGCCGGCTCCGCGGCTTCGGCAAAAGCGAGGCCGGCTCCGCGGCTTCGGTCCAAAGCCGCACGTTTTCCGCAGTCGCCTCTTCCAGGGGCAACTGCCCAACCTCTGCCCCAGACACAGAAAAATAGAAACTCGTTTCTTTGCGGAATTTCCGTTTATCGTCAGCAATCGTCCCAAAATCCGGTGAACTTTAGCGTTGCCTGAAGCCAGCGTGAATCCTTTGTGCCTTGCACTCAAGCCATTAAGAGAAGCAAAAGGCCTTTCTGCAAGCACCATGGTGAAAGGCTTGGGTGCTGTCAAGTTGCTGGACGCTCACCAAATCAAATTATCAAAGTCATTTTCATCAAAGTGCTACAGCAACTACAGCCTAGCGCTCCTGCGATCGCTTTTCCGACACCACCGTCGCCACCTGGCCGAGACACAAGCCTCAGGAGAACGGGCATGCCATGTTTACTGCTCTCACAAAACTTTTGTGTTGCGTGCCACTTGCGCCTGCAAAGGCCGAACAATGATTTGTACTGATGCAATTGCCCCTTGCCAGCCAATTGCGCCAGCAGCCCTGGAAGTAGGGCACGTTGTGCACAGCAGCCACAGCAGAATTTCGGCCCAGAACAAGACGAGTAGTAAGGAACATAGGCCTATAGGGACCAATTAATTTTCGTTTTTGGCCCGAAAAAGCTGCCAAAACAGCCTTATTTCCATCCCGCCGAGCTTGTCACCAAAGAAGTCACCCCTATGTCACCCCTACCTTTTGGGTGGAAAAAGTGCACAAAACGGCAAACTTCCTGAATTCCTGAAAACCTCGTTCTTTTCGGTTAGAAAGTAGTAAGGGGCATAGGCCTATCGATTTTTGCGTTTTTGGCCAAAAACAGGGTCCTGACACGATTTCCGTTTTTGGCCCGAAAAAGCTGCCAAAACAGCCTTTGTTCCATCGCTGCAAATCGCAGAGACCAGGCTTGACCACCCCGTGACACAAGCTATCGTAATCTTCCAAGCTCCGACTGGAAAGCAAGGCCGGCTCCGCAGGCTCCAGCTCCAAGCCATAGGTGGGGGTGGCAGGGCCCACCACCCCCACCTTAGGGGGGGGTGACCCCGTGGTTGGGAAGATTGCGTACAATATGGCGAAGTGCATTGCGCCAAGGTTTTGGTACGCAAGCATGCAACACACACACACACACACACGCGCGCGCGCGCGTACGCACGCACGCACACGCACGCGCGCACGCACACGCACACGTTCACGCGCGCACGCGCACGCACGCGTGCACACGCACGCGTGCACACGCACACACACACACACACACACACACACACACACACACACACACACACACACACACACACACACACACACACAAACACCACCCACTCACACACGCACACACACACACACAGCCCATGACATGCGCACACGTGTGCGAACACGTGCCCACGCAGTCGCGCCAACACAGTGAGGCTGAGTCCAGCCGCAGTGCCATCACACAGCTGCATAGCTTTTCCAGAACTAATCCATGCACATTTATTCATCATGCACCATGCACCTTGCATCACATGCCCACACAAACACCTACACAGCCAAACCACAGAACCACACTCACACAGTCACACTCTCAGAGCACAATTCCGACACATTTATACAAGGGCGTAGCCACACAATAGCAAATCACACATACAAGTTGGTACTTGTTGTTGTTGAAGGGTGGAACCCCTCTTAGGGAAGAGGTCACGACGCTGTGCAAGTGCTCTTTGTGCGTTTGTTCTGGTGGTTGTCTAGCACATGCTTGAGATTTCATCTATTGTTATTTGAGTTCTGTGTTGACTATCATGTTCTAGTACACATGTAGTTGGTTTCAAGTATGCATGGAAATTTGTGTGGCATTGCTGTAGCATGCTTGTTTTAGCATGTAGCCACTTTTACTAGCATGTGTGTGTGGAATAGCATTCCTAGCATCAGTTTAGTATATGTGTAGAAAAGTCTGACCCATGGTTGCTAATGTGTGTCTAGCACATTGCTTTGCACATCTGTATGGTTCATAACATATTGATCTGAGTTCTAGTGCTTCTAGCACAATATGTCTTGAGTAAAGCACAACAATCTGGCAGATGTTTTAGCTAAAGGACAGTCATATAGCAAACGCGGTGGGTAAACAAAAGCCTAGTTGGCAAAGTCTTTGGGTAAGGGCAAGCTATGTAGCGGAATGGTTGGGTAAAGCCAATCTATATTATGTTGTAGACATTTTGGGTAAAGGAAAGCGATGTAGCAAACCTTGTTGGGTGCAGGGAAACTATGTGGCACACTGTTCGAGTAAAGGGATGTTAGGTAGCAGATCCTGTTAAGTAAAGTAACTTTATGTAGCGGGCGTTTGGGAAAGGAAAGGGTATGTAGCGGGCGTTTTGACTAGAGAACATGTGTGTAAGAGACTTCTTGGGCAAAGGAAAGCCATTGCCAAATTCGAGGCTCCACAGAAGAAGTAGATGGCTCACAGCATGCCTTGTTCTGTGAGGGGCGGACGTGGAGGGCGGGTGAAGCGGATGGGGAAAAGGGTAAGGGGAGGGTGGGCTTGATCAAAACCACAGCCAAATCTTTGCCAAAATCTAAAAAGGACACCCCTGTGAACCCCCCCTATCCCTGGTGCTTGGATTGTCAGCAGACCTCAAGGTTAGGTGTGTGTGTGTGTTTATTGGAATTGCTATGAGTTGGTGCCTTTTTGTTGCTTTTTGAAGGAAGCCAAAAGAAAACAACAACCTTCCTTTTTGTGGGGGGGGTCCATATGCCATTTGGAGACAACCCCATATTAGCCACGGTCAAATTGTGCGATTGATCAACAGGAAATGGGGCAATTAGAGAGGCTTGCTCTAATTACAATAATTATTCCAAATGGAGGGGTGCCCCTTAGGGAATTCCACGATAATGTTTCTTCCAACTATCATACGTCTTCCGAAAGGGGCGGATGCCAGGAATTCCAGATTCACTTTTGCATGGGCGGCTTCCTTTTGGGGAACTTCAGACTCATTGTGTTTCGAATTACTTAAGTATCCCCAAGGGGTGGTGGATTTAAGATTCACCTTTTCTGATTACCCTACTGTTCAGAATTCGTCTAACAATTCAATTTAT